GTTATGTGTTTGGTAAAAAATGATTGGTAAGCTGAAAAATATCTCTTAGGACTTAGAATACGAAGTCAATAGAATGGAGCTATGTTTCCTCCTATCGTTGAAAATAAAGACAAACATGAGAATAATAATCGAGAGATACAACAAACATCTTGGAGGGTAAAATCTTGGACTCACATAAGTCACATTAATGCATGATAAAGAGTTTTAATGCCAATAATTTATGTACCACCATCTAATATTAGGCATCCTATTAGATTTCAAAGGCAACATATGTGATAATGACTTTTGTGCATTGGTTATCAGCAATTATCAATGTTTGTTATTGTGTTATACTACCTCCGTTCCTATTAAAACTTTCAAATAGGTTTGGCACAGAGTTTAAGATAGTGGGTATTGTGTGGTGGAGAGTTGTGCAGAGGAGAGAGAAATGTGTAAGAAATGTTGTGAACCACAAATTCTTTACTAAAAAGGGAAAGTGGAAGTTTTAATTGGAACGGATGAAAAAGGAAAGTTGGAAGTTTATTTAGGAACGGAGGGAGTAAGTTATATTGGTCTTTCATTGAAGAAATTGTTGCTTAGCCATAAATAATTATATATTGTTGTTTCGGAGTTACAAATTGTACTGGTCTCAAAATACTAATTCCAAGTGAAGATGAGACTATTGATGTTGTTAATAAATAAGTACGGGGTATTTATAATCTACAATTTTGATTATATGGAAATAAATTTCGTAAATTATACATTTTCTAGGTTTCAAATTATGAAATTTCATTTACGTGTCATGATTTTAACAAATTCATGTGACCTTGCATTTTCATTATAAATCCTGGCACGGGTGTCTTAAGAGATTGTAGGTTCTTAAAAAGTTTGGTCGAAAATTATACTACTTCTGTCTCCATAACATTGAGACATGGGGTGAGGCGAACTAATTAAGAAAAGTGAGTTTTGTAGTTGATATTAAATTGATAAAGTAAGAATAAAATAAGAATGATTTAGACTCACATAAATTTTAACAAATTTGGTATATATGAGACAATCTTAGTGGGTAAGTACCGATTCGTTTTGCCTATGTACGAATCAAGTTTCTTCACACATCCAAACTAGACACCCCAAAAAGATATTAAGGGTAGTTATAAAAGTTGATAATCAAGGGTGTGTCTTCATATCAAAAAGTTTGTACGTACTGAAGGCATACATGTAGGAATAATCACATTACATATTACAACAAACTTACATATTACACTTTCTATTCTTCATTGCGTAATGTATGATATTTAACTTCATAACCAATTGAATTTTATGTAACACGTTGTTTTTATCCATCCACAAACTCACACACCGTGCATCACACGGATGCACTACTAGTAATACTAATAATAATAACAATAACAATGATGATGATGACGATGATGATGACGGCGACGATGACGACGACGATGATGATGATGATGATAATAATAATAATAATAATAATAGTAATAATAATAATAATAATAATAATAATAATAAAATATGGTCTGGTCTGGTCTGAAATTTTATTTTTTATATTTTTGCATAAAGATTTTATTTTTATATATATTATAATCCATAAATAATTATATTTTATTCATTTATAATTAAAAATAATAATAGTAATAATAGTAATAATAGTAATAATAGTAATAATACTAATAATAATAACAATAACAATGATTATGATGATGACAACGATGATGATAATGATAATAATAATAATAATAATAATAATAATAAAATATGGTCTGGTCTGTTTTAGTCTGGTCTAAGAAGAACGCAGCATTAAAAGAGAAGAACGTTGGACATTTATTGCTATAATGGACCAGAAGACCATCTGGTGCGAACAGAATACGTCCACCAGAACACCTCGAGGTGTTCTGATCTGAAGCCACCAGAAGACCCCAAGGCCTTCTGTCCGGAAGCCAGCAGAAACCCTCAGGCCTTCTGATCCAACAGAAACCCTCTCAGGTTCTCTGGTGTCCAACAGAAACCCTCTTAGGTTCTCTGGTCCGGAAGGCAACAAAAAGCGGAGCAGTTCTGGAAAAAATAAAATGTTACGGGAAAAAGATGGAGTTCTAATTTTGAGCAATTCTAATTCTAGTCCATTGAAGAGTTCTAGTGCCCTTTACAGAAGATGGAGTGATAACGTATAAAAGTCATGTAGATTTTAGGGGCTTTTAATTAATTTTAAATTTTAGAACATAATTTTAGAACCCACAACCTCTCGCAACTTCCTAGTAGTGCAAGAACCATTAGGCTACAAAGCTCATTTAGTATAAGTTCTCATTTAAATATCTTTAACATGTAGGACAATATGAATTTTAAGTTCTGAGATGTACTTATTTAACTCGTGCATTACTCGTTCCTTCAGGATATATTACTTCTTTCTCTAATAATTAAAGAATCTGTGAAAATTTTAATTTGAGATATTCAATTAAATATTAAAGCAATTGTATTTTATATGTTCGAGTTCAAAAATTATGATAAAAAAGTAATATGATATATCTAATTATTAAATATTAAAGCAATTGTATTTTATATGTTCGAGTTCAAACTAAGATGCTCGAAATCGAGCTAAGCAAATAATGAGAAATTGAAAAATAATTAAATAAATAAAATAAATAAATAAATAAAGGAATGGATACATAAATAAATGGAAATATTAATAAATTAATAAACATATTAATGAATTAACAAATAAATTTATATATTTATTTATCTATTTGTTTATTGTAAATAAATGAAAAATAAATGAATGAATAAATAAAATAATAGATGAATTAAATAAATAATTTTATTTATTTATTAATTCATCAATACTTTTATTTATTTATTTATTTATTTATTTATTTATTTATTTATATTTTTCAATTTTCATTATTTGTTTAGCTCGATATTGAGCATCTTATTTGAACTCGAACCTATAAAAGACAATTATCCAATTACGTTTTTATCATAATTTTTAATTGGTTTTTATTTTTTAATTGAATAACTCAAATTAAAATTTTCAAAAAAATTTTAATTATTTGAGAAAGAAGTAAAATATTCTAAAGGAACGAGTAATGCACGAGTTAAAAAAGTAAATCTCAGAACTTAAAATCTATATAATCCTATATGTTAAAGTTATTTAAATGCGAGCTTATACCAAATGATCATTGTAGCCTAATGGTTCTTACACTGCTATGAAATTGTGAGAGGTTGTGGGTTCAACTCTCACTAGTGACGTGGCAGGTTGGATGACGAGACAAAAAAATACTCTAGTTTGGGAAATAAGTTTAAAAGTACCCTACTTTGGGAAAAAAAATTTTGAATTACCCTACTTTGGGAAAAAACTCGATTATTTTTAAAGGGCTATAGTTGATATCATAAAGAATTATTTTGGGAGCAGAGGTGAATGGGATAAAGACCAAAAATGACACTAAGGTTTTTAGTGAATCTCGGATTAGACACTAACGTTTTAAGTAGACCAAATAAACACAAAATTATAGTTTTGGGGTCCATTTATACCACCCTTTAACGCCTCTGTTATCCTTCCCCGTCGTTACCCAAAAGCCCTTCCCCTTCGTTACCCAAAAGCCCTTGCCCACCCCAATCCCCGTCGTTCCCCGCCGCTCTGCCTTACCCCCTTGCCCACCCCAATCGACCTTGTCCATCCAACCCCTGTCCTGCCCTTGCCAGCTCCCCAGCTCCAGATCCGAGCAGCCAACCCCCGATCCGCACTCCCTAGCTCGAACTCCGACCAGTCATCCCCAGCCTCCCAAACCAGCCCCCACCCGAGCCCCAGCCTCCTCGCAACCCCTCTCTCAGCCTCGTAGCCCTTGTCACCTGCCAAGCTGCCGGCGAGATCCTATAGATCAAACGGAGCACGACCAGATCTAGATCTTTGCCATAGACGTAGAGATGAAACGACGGTAAGGCAGAGCGGCGGCTTTGACGGCAAGGCGGGGCGGCGGCTTCGACGGCAAGGCGGTGCGGCGACGAGGCGGAGCGGCGATGAGGCAGGACGATCGACCTCCATTGTTGCTTTCTCTCCTTAATCCCGATCCTTGCCATTGTTGTCTGCTCCAAGGTAGCTTTAATTGGATGGGGGAGTTAACGGGGAAGGGGTGTTAACGGGGAAGGAGTTAAAGGGTGGTCAAAATGGACCCAAAAACTATAATTTTGTGTTTATTTGGTCTACTTAAAACGTTAGTGTCTAATTCGAGGTGAATTGTGGAAAAATGATGGGGACAGACCGGTGTACACCAAACAAATTGGCGAATTGTGAGACTTATTTCTCGGTTTTCCTTCTCTTTTACGGAGTACTCCGTACTATTTCATTTCATTTTTCTATTCTTCTTTTCTCGGGTTTTTTCCCGGAATAATCCTAAATAAATAAATAATAATCTCAAAATACTGCAGAGTTAAAAATAATTCCCAAAATACTGCTGTATTAACCGTGGTTAAGGAAAGCCGCGGAGTAACGAAGATATAATGCCCAAGCCAACCATATATGGTAATGGGTCCCACCAAAATTTAAAATCTCCTGTTTTCTTTGAAGTGTTATAACTTTTTTATTTGTACTCTGATTGTTACAAAAAATATACCAAAATTCATAACTTTTTATTATCTTTCATATGACACCAATATTGAGTATATAAAATCAAAAAATTAGATAACACTCTAAAAATTACTGTGTATCTGTTTTTAAAGTGTTACATATTTTTTATTTGTATTGCGATTATCAAAAAAATATATCAAAATATACAAAAAATATATCAAAATAAGGTGTCATTTCAAGTTACAAATGTCACATTACAAATCGATTTTAAAAAAGTAAAAATCGAAGAGAAAAAATGTCACTTCAAGTGGCGGCTTTCCTTAAACACGATTAATACAGCAGTATTTTGGAAATTATTTTTAATCCAACAGTATTTTAGGAATTATTTGCTTACTTAACATTATTTCGGGAAAAAAACTCTCTTTTCTCTCTACGGCCGGTACTGAATTGTCTGCTCAAGGCTGTATGTGGAGCTAGTCACTACAAAGTTTACCATGCCTTATTTTAAAATCGCTTGAAGATCATAAAAAAGGCTGTATGTGGAGAAACAAGCGCAGGTGACCTTCTACGGTGAAACAAGCGCAGGTGACCTTCTACAGTGTAACAAGCGCAGGTGATGCTCTTCTTGTGCAACACTATCTTCTTCTGCTACTTCTTCTTCTTTTTCTTACTATTCCTCTTTCGGATTTCTCCTAATTGCCCCAGTCATTTCGGTTGAATCTTAACTGTTTCTTCAATATCTACTTTTTCCAAGTTTTGTACGTAGATTTCCCAGCCCAAATTTTAACCTTTAGATTCGATTTTTTGAAATCTTCAGTTTCCTCATGCTGTTATTCCATGAACGTGGAGATTTATTCCAAGATTTTGCAGATTTATGTTTCAAATCTATGAAATTATGTGGCGTCTCTGTATTATATTCTACTTCCCAACCCTGTTCATGAATTTTCTTCCCAGATTCGCAGCTCGGATTCAATTCTTTCTAATGGGCACTGCCTGTACGAGGATGACTGTGGCCGTTCCTTCCTCTTTTCGTTTATTGTCTTTCATTTTTATTGGCTTATTCGTTTTTTAGGTAAAAGAATACCTGGGGTCAATTTGGGAAGACCGGTGATGAATTCCATATTATTTTAGAATTACACATATTCGGATTAATACTAGAAGACAATTGTCTGGAATAATCATGTGAATTTTTCGATTTTTCAATTTTAATTTCAGCATTTAAAACTTTTCTAGAATCCTCAATTGCAGAGTTTGATGGCTGAAGATCTCTTCGTGGAGTATATTATAATGTAAGAAGATGATGGCTGAAGATCTCGGTGTTGAGGCGAAGGAGGCAGCGGTCCGCGAGGTAGCCAAGCTCCTTCCATTGACAGAGCTCTTGCAGTCAATTTCCTCGATCAAATCTGATTACATTGCTCGCCAGCAGGTTAAAAAAATCAACCTGATTTTGGATTCTTTGCTTGTAATGGTTAGATCATCATTCTGTTGTTACTGAGAATTCAGCCCAAGTTTGCTAACTTGTACTTGAAATGAAAAGGTCCCGAAGTTTGATTTTTTTGTGTATTTCTTATGCCGATGATAAAGTTTTGGTTAGTAAATGTGCATACAAACATTATTAATTCTTAAGAGTAATTTAACAGTTACAAGATTGGATTACCTTTATTTCTCTTTTAAACCTTTTTCATATTGCATCAGAAACAAGTCTTATTTTGACATCATCGCAATTCTGGCCCCTCTCTTTTGTTTTTTGTTTTTGTAAAGGAGTCACTTTTATCATTACTACTACCTCCGTCCCAAATTGATAGTCCCACATTTCCCTTTTTGGGTGTCCCAAATTGATCGCACAATTTCCTTTTTTTGGCAAACTTTTATATATATAATGTCCATTTCAACCTGACCTTCAAGCGCAACTCAATTTTCTTTAAAGGGGTAACTATTTATACAATGGTAATTGGGTAAGTTTATTTCACTTTTTTAAAATTTATGCCCAAAAAGATTCGGACTATCAATTGGGGGTGGAGGGAGTAGCACTATCAGAAAAGCAGAAAGAGGGAATAAATTGTTTAGCAGGACCTAGAAATGTTAAAATGTGAACTGAAGATACCTACGCTGTGGCAGTGTGGCTAATCCTCTATCACTAGAATGATATTGTAGATTTATTTCTCTATAGAGTAGCCTGTAGCCAGATGAGGCAAAATAAGGGTAAACTAGCAATCTTTCACTGTTTCTTTCTATTTTTACAAGGCATTCAATATATTATCTTATCTTTTTTATCCCTTTTTAGCTCCGATTCCATATGTCGATTCATGTTAGCCGACCCCAAACTCTCTTGGGTTCAAGGCTTGGATGTTGTTGACCTTGTCAGATGGCATCACATACTCACACATATACCCAAAATATAGAGCAGATAAAGAACTCTGTATCCCAATCCAATGTGACATAGAAATAAAAAATTAAAGATTTAAAGATAGCAATATAGCATTAGTGTTTCATGAATCTAGGCTGCTACCCTTCCAGTTGTTTCGCTTGAGGGAAAGGAGGTTAGTAAAGGAAAGGAAGTGGGTTATCAAGCAGGGGGACAGGATTCTGTTGGGATTGATGTCTACTTGTCTAGTAAATGAGATGAAGGGGTGAAATTAATGAAGGATTTCATGTTTTCTCGTTTGGATTCTGAAAATTGAAATAGACAGAAGGTAATATAAATTATAAAAATTATTATTCTGAGGGGATCATCTCCTCTCCTTCTATTTGTGGGGAGTAGAAGGATGGGGATAATCCAGCCAATAATATCTCCCTCCATTTTCACTCTAATCAATCAAAGGAAAAGATGCACTTTCTCACTGTCTCCTCCCCTTTCTCTTTGATCAGAATGAGCCTATAACTGCGAAGTGTCAAGTCATGGCAGTGGGTTGAGAAATTTAAATGATTTGCGCACTAGTAGCCCACTTGCATTTCCAGAGATCCATATTCTCTTCACCACTTACCAGTTTCAGTTCCATCTCGACAAATTCATCATGGCATTTTCAGGATTGCAATGATTCAAAAGCTCAAAGCCCGAATGATTTGCTTTAAATTGTAATGAATTTCCTCACAAAGAAATTTCAGTTACAGTGAAGCATAAAGCTTCTGATTATTATGTTTTTACTCAAAGGATTATACAAGGTGTATCCATTGCTACAACTAGGGCTATTTATACAAAGTTGGCTAAGAACAGTACTTCCAGGGTTAGGATTTCAAGTTTCAACACTCCCCCACAAGTTGGAGCATATATCATATGCTCCAAACTTGTTACAGATATGTTCCAATTTAGGACCTCAAAGAGAGTTTGTTAAAGCATATACAAGATTCTATTGTGCTGACATAATATTTGGCAATCTGTACATTTATGATCTAATCTCAATGTTTCTCATAAAATATTGGGTTAGTCGGTTAGATGTGATGCACATTGCGAATTGGTTATCATACATTAGTTGTGCTGGTTTCGGGCTTCTTTATTTTGATTCTTGAAGGAAATGCTTCAACCATAAAGTCTCACATTCAGCAAGGGTCATTACATGGTACCCCCGCTTTAGAAAACAACATCTTGGTTCTTACTCTTCCACGAAATCAAAATTCTACCGATTAAGATACAATTCCCAGAAGTATAACATATATCCACCAGCCATCCACTAATCCAACTCAATTTGCGAAACAGTACCCCACAATTTCATTATGGTCCCGCTCATTTTAGGGTAACCAGGTGTTTTTTGATGCATCTCAAGAATCGGGTAGCTGCATCCTGGGGCTTGTCCAGAAATTGGCTCAGTACACTTACTGTGAAAGATTTATCTAGTCTCATGATTGTGAGATAATTCAGTTCTCCAATTAGTCTTCTATATCTCTAATTAGACCGGCATTAATGTATGGCGTAGAGTGTTGCGCGGTGAAGCAATGCCACATTCAAAAGATGAGTGTGACAGAGATGCGTATGTTGCGTTGGATGTGTGGACATACCAGAAAAGACCGCCTGAGGAATGAGGTAATCAGACAAAAGGTGGGAGTAGCACCTATAGAAGATAAGATGCAGGAGTCTCGTTTGTGGTGGTTTGGGCATGTGCATAGAAGCCCGAGTGATGCACCTGTTAGACGACTTGAGGGGTGGGGAGAAGAGTCAGAGAAGAGAGGGAGGGGAAAACCCAAACAGACTTGGATTAGAGTAATCAGAACTGATATGCGTCTTCTTGGGTTGGATGAGAGTATGGCTTTGGAGAGAGCAAAGTGGAGGGCGCACATCCATGTGGATGATTGATGTATTGTCTACCTTTCCTCTCTTGTTTCTTTTATCGTTTATCTTCCTTATCTTTTTATATTCTTATGTGATTTTTATCTTCTAGCTTTTTTATGCTTTTTTATTTATTTTTCTTTTATCTTGGTTATATTCTTGTGTTATTGTTATCTTATATTTATGTATCTTTATTTTATTCATTTTATCTTACTTTTTTTTCCTTTTCTTGTCCGCCTTCTCTTTTTGGCATCGATATCATAGATCGATTCATGTTAGCCGACCCCAAATTCTTTTGGGATTAAGGCTTGGATGTTGTTGTTGTATGTTCACAGAAAAGACTGCACAAGTGTATATATAGCTATAACTAGGGCTAACTATATAAAGTGGGCTAAGCCCAAATGCTCAATACTTCAAGGGTTAGGCACTACTTGGGCTTAGGCTTTCATCAATGAGCAATAAGAATGAGAGCTTGATAAGGCTGATTGTTGACATGTCATGTAGACAGAAAACCGTTACCTCATCAGGAATTTCAGAATATTAAGAACTGAGCAAGTTTATCATTTGATGTTGCTCACCATAGTTTAGTTGCAATACTTTAAGTACAAGAAATATAGATGTAAGTGTTAGTAGCTTAGTGCATGTATGATGGATCTCCATCTCTTGTTATATTAGACCACCTCTTCTTTTCAAGCTGTAGCAGCCAAGTTTTCCACTAACTAACATGGAGATGTGAAGCAGAAATGTCGTAAAATGAGGAAAAAGTATTTAAAACTAATACTGGATATGAGATGTGGAAAAGCACACATTTTAAAAAATATAAGGATATTTTTGTATTTTTTCATATGTATATACATTATTTTTTTCATTATTTGTCAATTCTTTGAATCATAAGTTGATATATTAGTGTATGTGTGTGTGGCTATACATATATAGAATCCAAGTCGCAGTTGGCACCTATCGGATGGTTGAGATCTGCAACTACGGATTTTCACCATAAATTTATATTACTGATTTGACTAGTGAACATATTCTGGCAAAAAGTGAACACAGCATTACCCAGTTCACTTTATGCCTAGTGTCAAAATTGCAGCCATTAAGTAATTCAATAGAATGAAATTTGGACATTCAGTAAATCAGTAATAATTTCTCTGGATCTGATTCTTCAATTTTTGATATTTTACCAGGCAAACGATGCACAGCTTAGTACAATGGTAGCTGAACAGGTTCTTGTACCCTTTTGAATATATAGACATTTGTTTATTCATTTTTTTCTGTATTCTGGTATGCAGATTGCAGAATGTTATTGTGAGTTCCTTTTCCACTTCATCATTTTGTTTTTGATGAACTTATGGTTACATATGGAGCTCTAATCTATATCATGTTAGGCATGTTTACTATCTTTCAAAAGAAATATATTGTACTATGTATCTACTAGTTAGGTACGAGTGTTTTGATAGATGCGCATTTTTTTCTTTGCAGGTTGAACAAGCGCAAGCTGGTCTTGAATCACTTACGTTATCTCAGAAGACTATCAGCCAACTCCGAGAGAACTTCTTTTCTATTGAAAAGTAAAAAATGATGCTCTGTCTAAAAGCTTATAGGAGTGTAACTCTTCCTTTTGTTGTGTCATTTTTATACTTTATTTTATTGTGTTTGCTATCAATATTCTCTTTTCTCATACAGGTTATGTCAAGAATGTCAAACACTAATTGAAAATCATGATCAGATAAAGCTTCTTAGTAATGCTAGGAATAATCTTAATACTACCTTGAAGGTGAGTTTCTGCTTCCATTTTCTGTTCAAACACTACTCAATTAAGCTATGGCGTAACTTATGAAGAAGTCCATGGTGTATTATCATATGAACTAAGTCTAAATTGATTACAGGACACATGCCAGTTTCTCCATTAGATCAAAAGTACTCTAGATTACATTTTGTGGCATCTCAAATAGGGTTAATTAAAACTTGGTTTTGGAGTTATAAAGTCGCAGAGAATGCACATTTATAAAGTATTCACTTTGTTGTGCTGCTTTGCTTGGGATTCCTTTCTCTATGCTATATTTCTTTCCCTCTTAGGATGTAGAGGGAATGATGTCAATTTCTGTTGAGGCTGCTGAAGCACGGGACTCCCTTGGTGATGACAAGGAACTCATAAACACCTATGAGGTAAATACCTTCTTCTATCATTCTGGTGAGCCATGATACTTGATGGCAGCTTTCCCAACTTTTATGCTCATCACATCCCTTTCTTTCGTGATATAAAATAGAGGTTAACCGCCCTTGATGGGAAACGGAGGTTTGCACTGGCTGCTGCATCATCTCACAAGGAAGAGATCGGCAGACTGAGGTCCGATTCTTTTCCTTTTTGATATAAAGAAATGGGGTTTTGATCTGATACTACTAAAGGAAAATCTAAAGATAAAAGTATGATGGCTTTTAATATTTCCAATAAGTGATTAAATATGTCACTTTTAATATTAAAGTGACAAGCCCCAACCCCAGTGACACTGCCACAGACCCAAACCACCACCACCTCAAACGCAGTGACACTGCCCCACCTGTCTTTGTAACACCCAAACCAGCAGCGGCAGTTTCTGGTGTCTTTTCAGTGACTTTTCTGGTCTTTTTTTCCACCAACTCTTCCCTGAAAAAATTCCGACACCGTTGGATGGTAATGCTAGTCAGATAGCGCATGGAAGTTGATAGGGGAGATAGGACAGAGATGTGGATGGATGTAGGGTTAATGATTATTTAGTACTTTTCATAAAGGATGACTCCCCATCCCTGAGGGCCCCCAGAACTGACCGGGGGACAATTATCTGGGAGGATGTAAGTTGAGCTTTAATCTCACACTAATGGAAAGGGAGCGGGGTTCCATTCCAAGTCTTTGCTTGGAGTTGAACCCAGGATCTCTCTTCTGGCACCCCTTCCCACCAGGTGACCTATGCCCCCGGTTTTATTTAGTACTTCTCATGAAATGCTTTAATGTTGTCATATTTGTGTCCAGAGAAGCTCTAGGAGTAATAATTTGTTCATTGTTTCTGAGGAAATCCCTCTAATTTTGACATGCTAGCTCGAGAAACAAAAGTTCAGGATCAGGCCTTGGAAAAACTTGGGATCTTTTTGGTTGGAATTAAGACGTAGACAAAATAACACACGTAGTATTGAGTACATCATGTTTTGAATGTCTTGTGCTTGAGATGAGATTTATCAAGTTTTATCACTATTTTACCTTGTATCCATTGCAGTTAATGTTATTGACCTATTTCCATTTAGTTGATAAATGATAAAGAAGTTATGGCTCAACTCTAAATTTATTCCGAACAAAAATTAAGCAAGCTATTGTCTTTATCTTAAGTTAAACATCACCTACAAAAGGCCTGGTAAAATTTGTCTTGGTGTTTCATGATCATCAAACTTTTGATTCATTATGGCACTCATGCATTATTAAGCAAGATCTTTTGGTCCAACTGCGTCACAGTATTTTTGCTCTAGTTATTGCTGTGTGTTAAAAATGAGAAAAAAGAATAAATAAAAGTAGACAGGAGAACATTGTTAACCAAATTAATTCAAATGGCAACCTTTCAAGCTCCTGCAGCCATCATTCTCTTATCATCATTGCTGAGTCTCACACATTATACAGTTGCACTTGCTTCATTCAATAGATGACATTAGATGGGACCCGTTGTGGATGTGTTAGATTTTATCTTTACTGTTTCCTGCATCGTTTCTCTGAAACTATACTTGTGTCATTCTCAGAGACTATTTTGAAGATGTAGATCACACATGGGAAACTTTTGAAAAAACACTATGGGGACATATTTCCAACTTCTTCAAACTTGCTAAAGAAAGGTAATGTTGATCATTTTTCTTTGCATGTATCTTAATCATTTCTGCTTATCTGCTGAACAAAGGTGTTTCAGAAGTACATATAGAAAGAGGATAACACAAATGCAGTTTTTGGCATATCTAAAAGACTAAAAGGATTATCAATTAGTCAAACCCAAAAAGGTTGCTATAAGTTTTAGTTCAGTTGGAAAACCGGATGGCTTAGTGAAGGCATGTAAAATCTCTGAACCCTTTTTAGTAATTCATTCCAAAATGTGATGCCTAAATTACCAGCTCACATCTCTTGCTTGTTTAACCTGTTTTCTCATGGATGATCTAGTTTGAAGCTAGAGTGTTATGAGTTATGACAATGGAACTAAGACTCTGCATATGCAAGAGTGTAAACAGAGGTTTTGCATATTTTCCTCTGTAAAAGATGCTCTGCTATTTGCTCTTACATATAAGTGCAGACCGTTTCAATTTTATTCACCATATATTTTTTTATATTTATAGAAAAAGTCAACTTTCCATCCCTGTGTTTGTAGATTTTAAGTGTCAAATTTCAATTGCATGTGCTGCATTTAACTTCACTATTGCTCTTCTAATATCCCTCTGCCATTTTGTCTTTGCAGCCCGCAAACTCTAGTCCGTGCTATAAGGTATGCTTGACCCCTGACAACCTTGAATATAGAATGCATCAAATGCAAATGATGGCTATTTTGTTCAAGTGCATGCAAAAATGAAATTTACTTTGGTCATTCATTTGGTAAGAATAACAAATTCAGTAATAATATGGACTTCTTGCTCCTTTCATTTTTCTAGGGTTGTTGAGATGCAAGAAATCCTAGACCAGCAACTTGCTGAAGAAGCTGCTGAGGCTGAAGGTGGTGGAGCAATGTCACCAGTGGCAAATCCTCGAAGAAATTCCAAGTGTGTTTGTTGATGAGTTTCATGCTGTGGCCTACTGGCCTTTGATCTTTACTCATTAGTTGCATTTATAGTTTTGTTAATGGGAAACATAATTAAAATACCCCAAACTTTGAAGGGGTGTGAGGTAAACACCCCAAACTTGCATAGTTAATTTAAATACCCCAAACTTTATATAAAAAGTTATTTTAGCATCATGGTCATGTATTATTTCTTTCAAAAAAGTAAATTTATGGTGGCAATTGCATAATTTAAAATAGCAAACTAAAAGTGTTGCAATTATATAGATTAGGGGTAATATTATTTATTTCACAATGGAAGTTTAGAACGTTAATTGTGTCTTCATGAATGCTAAAATATTTTTAATTACGCAATTAACACCCCAAATTTACATTTTCGAAAGAAATAATACTTGACTATGGTGCTCAAATAACTGTATACATAAAGTTTGGGGTATTTAAATTACATATGCAAGTTTGGGGTGTTTATCTCACACCCCTTCAAAGTTTGGGGTGTTTTAATTATTTTTCCCTCACTACGTTGTACCTTGCACTAAAGTCTATTGCATGTAGAGTAATTTTAAATTCTTTTTACAGTGTTTCCTTTGGTCCTGCAGGAAATCTATACACGGAACAGCTTCTACTAAAAACCTTATACAACAAAAATTGAAAGTTCAGGGGAAAGGCTACAAGGACAAATGCTATGAACATATAAGAATGTCTGTCGAAGAGCGCTTTGATCAGCTGCTAAGAGAGGAAGACCTTAAAGCCGCTATAGCTGAGGCAAAATTGGTAAGACATTATAGTTTAGCAGCTTGCCAATTGCTTGAATTAGTTTTGATAAATATATATAACAATTTAATAACATTGAGGTTTTTACAATTCAGATGGGCGAAGAGCTTGGAGATATATACGATTATGTTGCTCCTTGCTTTCCTCCCAGGTTTGCATATATGCTTCTTTATTAGTTGATCACTGTTTTTTCTAAGGGCCTTGTCAGTCATCTAAATTTTTTACCTACATCTAGTGACATTAAAATGTCAACCCTGCATCACTTTTACTGTTGATCTGATGTGCCTTTGGATGTACTTTTTTTATCAGTGTAATCCAAATCTGAATTTCAATTTTGTCTTTTTCATGTATCGCCTAATGCTTATTAATTTATAGTGTTTTACTCCCTATATAGTAGTCTTATTTATATGTCCATTTCATCTAAAGGATTTGTATCCGGTCTTGTTAACTTCACATAAAGTTCCTCCAACAACCTTCTAGATAGAATCTTGATGATAAAGTGTATGTCCAGTCTAGATGGGTGGTATATCAACTTAACGTCAAGCCAAGTCCACCAAATCTGACTTACCCGCATCACATATTCAGATAATTATATATTTTTTAAAACCTATCACGAATTTTATATCTTACTGAAATTGCCCTTATTTATAAACTCATCAAATTAAATTTGTATAACTAAATTTTCTACACATTTAATACAATGTGGAATGTGTTTTAATTCTCTTTCTGCGTTTACCAATCGTCTCTTGTTTAATTTTATGTAGGGGATAACAGGAAATAATAATAAAAGCTCTACTTATAAATGAGTGAATAGACCGATAAACAGGACCACACGGAATTTTAATAAGTGAATAGATAAGTACGACAGATGGTGAGAGTATATATGTAACATTAAAAAAGATGCTGCAGCTAGTTACACTGCTATGTTAAGTGTTAACTCCATAACAGATCAAGGAGTTGGATGAATGCATAATATATTAATATCATGCATATACCCATATGAATAATGGACACTGGATGGCATCTAAGGGATTGGTTATTGATATGGCGTCCTAAATTTGCATTTGGACATGCCATGCAACTTCAAAGGTATTTGGTTAGATGGTTCTGATGCAGAGTTGCTATCATCAACCTTTGCTTACATACAACCATAAACACTTGGAAGATATTTGTCATTTATTGAATGTGTATCTTTTGTATAATTCAAATGAGTATTTCTTTTCATTTTTATCATCTTTTTTATTTATTTTTCATGTTCAGATACGAAATTTTCCAGCTCATGGTAAATCTTTATACTGAGAGGTTCATTCAGTGGCTTAGAAAACTAAGTGATCAAGCAAATAATCTGACAAACATAGATATCTTAAAGGTATGGAGTACATGATTATTATGGGACACCTGAGTAGATAATACTCCGTATTTTATGTATATCATTAATGGAATTAGGTAACTGGCTGGGTAGTAGAGTACCAAGAGAATCTAATTGCACTTGGAGTTGATGAGTCTCTGGCTCAAGTTTGTTCTGAAAGTGGTTCAATGGACCCCCTCATGAATGCTTATGTTGAGAGAATGCAGGCAACAACCAAGGTGAAAATATTTTGTTCATGTGGTCTGCTACAATCATTTTTTTTGTACTTCTATGCAGTATTGAATTAATGGTTATTTATCTTATTGCAATACACAGAAATGGTATCTGAACATTCTTGAGGCGGATAAAGTACAGCCACCAAAAAAGACAGATGATGGGAAACTGTACACACCTGCTGCTGTTGACCTATTTAGGATCTTAGGAGAGCAAGTGCAAATAGTGCGAGACAATAGTACTGATGTCATGCTTTACAGAATTGCTTTGGCAATAATTCAGGCAAGTTGAACTTGACAAACCTATTCTCTCTGTATAGGTGGATAGATTACCTCATTTGGTTTGATGGCTCTCTATTATGTATGGCTTTCTGATCACGTGCATACAAATGCACCAGATATCATGTTTATTTGAACTTTTTCCAAATGCCCAATTTAAGGGTTATTTTCTCGTTCTATCCTTATGGCATCTATTCTTTTACCAAATGGATTGTTTACTAGAGGGTATAAAAAATTCATGATAGAAAGGTCTTTCCTTTTTCACATTTTCTTAACAAGTTTTTAGTTGACAACCCTTTTACTGCCATGAATTACTGTTTGTTTTCCAGGTAATGATTGACTTTCAAGGAGCTGAAAGAAAGAGATTGGAAGAACCTGCCTCTGAAGTTGGTTTGGAACCTATATGTGCAATGGTTTGTAAATTTTATTAGATGTCAACTTTAATATATATGTGCATAAAGTTTTGTTCTTCACATAATTTGCTGACATATTGCTGTAACAGATCAACAATAACCTTCGCTGTTATGATCTTGCTATGGAGCTTAGTTCTAGCACCATTGAAGCTCTTCCAGAGAATTACGCTGAGCAGGTTATTGCATTTTTTCCTTCTTCTCACTTGACATAAATCAATATGGAAGCAGTCGTATGAAAGGATCCACTGACAACTGTAATGACCTTTAGCATGGTTCGTTTTATATGTTATTCTCTCAGCTTAATTTCACCACACTTTCTGCCCGAAGATTTGCACATCATGTAGGTTTGATGTAATAGAGGAGCAAGATTTAATTAATTTACATTTTATTACATTGTCATTCCTTGTTACGAATTAGGACAGTTGATGGTTAATAATGTTCTTTTGAACTGTTGGATCCAAGTATAAACGTTTCTCTGATTAGTGCATAAACTCAGAATAGAATCCGGAATGCATTTCTAATTATATTTCTTTAAAATATTTACTGAAAATTTTGTTTTCATTTCCTTTTCCAAGTGCTAACTGCTTTCCACTGTATTTAATAAAAGGGTTTGCATGGTTTGGTATATATTTTTTTTCACAGGTCAATTTTGAGGATACTTGCAAAGGTTTTCTGGAGGTTGCAAAGGTTAGTGTACCTGCTCTCCCGTTTTCTCCCTAAATGCCAAGAAAGTGAATTATAGAACTCATAATTAAGTTAAATCCCTATCTAGATTCTGTTCATTTGGATGTGACATTTTTCTGTCGACAAACTCAAATGTATCCAGTTTGAAAATGCAGCATTAAGTTTCTTTTGTTCTTGTTTACTACCGTCTCATCTTTTTTTAATATTGTGGATACTCTTTCATCATATATCAGATATTTGAACATATTTTTTGAGTTAATCACTAAAAGATGTGTGGCTCATAGTTGAATGGAACACGATAACTAAGCATTTATTTAATTTTCCGAAGAGGCATTATATGTGTCCAGTATCATATCTTCTTTTGTCACCCTTGGATGGTCAGTAAACTTGCTTCACTGATTCCAGGAAGCCGTGCACCAAACTGTCAATGTCATATTTGAAGATCCTGGAGTGCAGGAATTATTTGTTAAACTATATCAGAGAGGTAAGTTAATTTTTTAGATTGCATTTCCTTTAGTACCTATGGTTATCAAACTGGTTTGAAATCTATTACTAGATTTTGCTGCCTGTTGAATTGTGATTTTGATAGAAGTCATAGAACTAGAGGAAAGATATATAGTTCAATGTTATGGGTTTTCGGTTTAGTGATATGTGATACTTGTGCTGCAAATTACCTAATAAAACAAACCAATAACTATTAAAAAATGCTGAGTACGATTCCAGAAGAATCTTATTCACTGAATCCAAGTGGGGGGGGGGAGTCTTCAACTAATTACAAGATAGAAATTGTTGTAATACTATATGACTTAAGAATCAAAATGAAGATATTTCATATCAAAGTTGTATGTTTCCAACTTTGACAAGATTTTCAGTTTATTCCTTTTGAAACTGTGAATCACTACTTTGATTTTTTTACCTGTTTATTTGGGTCATGGTTTCAGATTGGCTGGAAGGGCAAGTTACAGAGTATCTAGTTGCAACATTTGTCGATTATTTCAGTGATGTGAAAATGTATGTTTTCAATATCAATAGCTCTAGCAGATAGCTTCAAGAATCAATATGTTTAAGGCGAAAAAAAATGTGTTACTTTCCAAATAATACAAAGTAAAAGATAAAGAAGTTTCTTGTTCAATTGATGCACTTAAACAGCATTTTGACATTATCTGTATGCCGTACTAAGGTACATTGAGGAAAGATCATTTAGGAGATTTGTTGAGGCTTGCTTGGAGGAGACGGTAGTTGTTTATGTGGACCATATGCTTATACAGGTAACTAACTATAACAGAATTTCTTGAATGAATTACCTTTTATGCTTTTGGCTATCTATTTTCATAATACAATTGCTTCAGATGATCTGATTATTCACATATATGATATTCTAGAAAAATTACATCAAGGAGGAAACAATTGAAAGAATGAGGCTAGATGAAGAAGTTCTCATGGATTTCTTCCGGGAGTACATCAGTGTTTCCGTAAGCCTAGTCCCTACTTAAACATTGACCACTAGCTTTATGGGAGAAACTTTAGAAGTATACACAGTATACTTGAAATGTGATACAAAGTATATTCTTCTAGGCCTCTATTGACTTGTAGTTTTTATTTTTATTTTGTATTATTTGGTTACTGCAGAAAGTCGAGAATAGATTAAGGGTACTTGGTGATTTAAGAGAGCTTGCTTCTTCGGAGAGCCCCGATTCTTTCACACTCGTTTACACAAACATTTTGGAGCATCAACCAGATTGTCCTGTAAGTGTTGAAGCAACTATTTGGACACGGAGAAATAATCTGATCAAATAGGAAAATATATATTTATTGAACTGAGGGGCTCAATGCCACATGATCATGTCTTTAAGTCTATCAGTCGCCCTTTCCCCCTTACCCATATCATGTTGTGATTCATTAAAATGCAGCCAGAGGTAGTTGAGAAGATTGTGGGATTGCGAGAGGGTATACCACGGAAGGATTCCAAAGAGGTATACATTTTTTATAAAATATAAAAACTAGCATGTCATGGCCTTACTGAGCTCAATCCTTATCAAGAAATGGGTTTTAGAAGAAAAGAAGTACCTATTCTTCAAAAAGAAGCATTCGTTAGAAAACAATAAAATATTCTTAATAGTAAAGATCACTTGGTGCTTTATTTTAGAAATCAGCAGATCGTTGTTTTTTGGAGAAGCGCTTGGAAGTGCTTATGACAAACATAAATAAAGAATTTATGTTTTGTAAAAAAGCAGGCTCTAATACATTTGGATTTAGAACTATCGGTTTTCTAATTGAGTTGAAACTTAGCATTTTGGGAAGTGATAATTTTTAGTCCTGAAATGTTTTAGCTGAAAATTGATAAATTTAACGTGAGTAAACTCTGTGAGACTGTCTATTGCGAGTGTTACTCTGAGAGTCTGAGGTGTACAAATGTTTTTCGGACTTGTCTCAAAAAAGAAGACCGTAACTTTTCTTATCAAACAGGTTATTCAAGAGTGCAAAGAAATATATGAAAGTTCTCTCATTGATGGCAATCCTCCAAAGGCGGGTTTTGTTTTTTCCAGAGTGAAGTGCTTGTCACAATCCAGAGGAGTTTCAAACTTGTGGAGAAAGCTGACTTAAGCCTGAAATTATCAGGTTATATAACCCCCTAACCCCCTTTGATTTTTGCTATGGTATGTCAAATGTGTGTTTTGTTCTATATCACATGTAAATAAATATTTACTATGGCTTTATGAGAAAATAATTGACTAATGAATGATGATGGTATCGTATTCCCATTTCTTATAGTTTATTTTGCTTTGTAATTTAGTGAGTTGCCTTTTGTATAAAGTACGTATGTGGAGATGATGTTAATTACTTTCACACTTGTTGAGGCTTTGGAAGAAAATTTTAGTACCGACTACTGAATACTGATTAAAGAAGTGTATTTTTTCATTCTATATTGTTACTATAATATGGAGTAGTATTCAAAAAAATGCATCGTAACTTTTAGCCGTTTTAGGGAAAACTGTCAAATCGACCCCCGAAGTGTATCAAATAAGTCCATTAGGCCCTCCAACAAAAGAAACACCCAATTAAGCCCGTGAACTATATAAAAAAAATCAAATTTCAAATTTGACTTGTTGATATCCGGCTACCCGCATTTCCTTCTCCTCCCAAGTCTTTCTCCGTCTTCTTCACACTGCACCCACACCTTTTTCCACGTTCTTTCTTCATCCGGCCGCAATAGGTGAGGTGGACAGTTTGGGCGGTGGGGCTCTTCGGCCTTCTCCGGTGACATTGTTGCTGCTGACCTTCATCTTCAGCTCAGTTCACCGGGCGCTGGTGGCAGTTAAGAAATGCTCCGGCAACGTAAAAAAAAAGTACGGGGCATGGGAGAGTGGGGCAGGCTGAATAAGAAGAAGAAGAAGGGAAGGGGGCCTGAGGGCCGAGGGGTGGGGCTGGCCGAAGAAGAAGAAGAAGAATTTAGCTTGGCTGAAGAAGGGAGGGGAGGGATGGGGTGGGCTGAAGAAGAAGAAAGCTTGAAGCCTTGAACAGGCGTGGGGTGGACTTGGTTGAAGAAGACCAGTAAAGAAGGGGTAGGAGGGGGGAGTAGGGGTGGACTCGGGCCGGGCCAACCGGCCCGGAACCGGACCGGCCCACCACTGTGCGGGCCCGGACCGGCCCGGGAACCGGTTCGTTGGGCGGTTCGGGCCACCCGGCCCGGTGGATTCTCGGTTCGGGCTCGGGCCCTTCAAAAGGTGAACCGGCCCGGCCGGTTCGGGCCCGGGCCGGGCCAATTTTAATTTTTTTTTGATTTTTTTGAGTTTTTGGGTTGGGCTGGTTATTTTGGGCCATTTGAGGTGGTTAGGGTTGGTTTGGGGGTGAGGGGGAGGGGTGGGGGTTAACTAGGAAAAGCCCAAAAAAAAAAATATACCCGAGGCCCGGCCCGGACCCGGGGGTTACCCGGGCCGGTTCCGGGCCTCCCCTTCTTGAACCGAGGCCCGGCCGGGCCCAGGCCCGAACCGGGCCCGAACCGGCCCGAGTCCACTCCTAGGGGGGAGCAGATGAAGAAGAAAAAGGGCCGCGGAGTTGCGGTCGTGAAGAAGAAAACAGGGGGAAAAGAAAAATAAAATAAAAATGATAAATATTAAAAATATGCCAACTGGACTGCTATATCAGCAATGGTACCTGCTAATCAAGAAGCCACTGGCTATATTAGAAAATTGATTTTTTTTACATAGTTCAAGGATCTAATCGAGTCTCTTTAGTTGGAGAGTTTAATTGACTTTTTTTATATACTTCGAGGGCTGATTTGATAGTTTTCCTACACTTTTACTCCCTATTTTATTGTGTGCTACAAGCCTAAAATTGCAGCTATATATTTTTATATGTAAAGTACTGAAGTGAAGTGTACATTTGTATTTCGTACCGGCCGAGTGGCGGAAACCTAAAAGCGTGTATTCATTCGAAACTTTTATATACTTTTAATAGCTTTTGAGATGATAAGATTTCAATAATTTTTTTGCTAATTAATTTTGCAGATCTATATAGGAATAAATGGATAACAACATTTGTTGAAATCTTTTGATAAAGAGTATCCCTTGCATAGAATTATGCATGGACACGATCCGATTCTGGGCCAGTTTTGGTCCCAGTCAGTCTTGAGGGGAAAGATTGGTGCCCGAGAGCAGGTTTTGGTCGGTACAGGTCCGATCTTGAATCTGATCTTCAAAAAAATGGTCTGAATTTCGATAAAAAAAACTGCCCTTCTCCCTCAAAGTTGTAACGGTCATATTACTATATTAGTTTGAAGTTTGAACTCAAGTGAGGAGTGATATATATATATATGATCACAAAAATGAAAGAGAATAGAAATAGCATAAGTGTAACGATGAAGAGGATATATGGATGAAGCAATGTAAAGATAGTTTTTATTAGAGAAAATTATCTCTCATGTGACAAACACTAATCATATCCCAATATATGAGCCCTTGAGTTTTTTCCCAATATTAATGCTTACATGAGTAATTGAGTATTAATAGGAAGTGTTTTACTCTTCCTAAATTGTAGGAAATGATATGGATGAACGGTTATATCCCTTTTAGAAGCATACTAGGTTTCAAGCCCGTGCATCATTTATCTGATTTAAAATTTGATTGGTTTTCGGAATCATATATAATGTGATTCAAAAGCAAAATAAATTCAGTCTAAATATAGAGTCTGTTTGATAATACTAATATTGGTGGAATTGGTTTATTTTTCTGAAATTAATTAAAATCTAGCTGAATAGGTTGAATAGGTGAATATCCGGAATCATGAAACAAAAAATATTCCATTTGTTAAATAAATAAAAATTATATGAAAAATAGTATAAATGGTCTTCTACATAAGCTTCTCTACTAAGCATAATTATTATGAACCCGATTTTAAAGAATTCATAGAGAAGCTTCTTAATTATTTTCATGTTTTCTAAATATATTTTTTAATATTCTTCATTCAACTTGGTATGAAATATGGAGTACATACTTTTAATAGTAAGATTTTACATTTTACTTATTATTTCATCACATTAAAATCATCATTAATAAGGACGTTTCTAATTGAATTAAAATTTTCGGGTTTGATTTGGTCTAAAGTAATATGGTAATTGTTTTTTGTCATATATATATATATATATATATATATATATATATTGATTTAAAAGGAATCTTATTTATATGGTAATTGTTTTTTGTCATATTATGAGAAATCTCATTATTTAGTCATATCATGGAAATCCTCTATGTTTTGGTAATATTTCCGTAATAATCCCTTTTTATTATAGGTTTAAAGATGTATGGATTTTAGTCTCATTAAGATATTTATTATTTATTACTTGTTAATATTACATTTATTTAAATAGAATTGGGATAAAAAAACTGCCCTTCTTCTCCCTCAAAGTTCTAACGGTCATATTAGTTTGAGGTATGGATTTTAGTCACATTAAAATATTTATTACTCCGTACTAATTAATATTATATTTATTTAAATAGAATTGCAACAATGAAGTAAATATATATAGCTATTGCTTAATGCAAATGTATAAGTATTACAAATATCAAAACACAAGTACAATATTATATTAATGCTAGCATAAAATTTTATTGAATTTGAAAGTGGTAGGCAACATTTGAAAAATAAAAAACGAACATAGCACTTGTTCATTGTTTGCATGCATGAGTGTTGACCAGGCCCGGGTCCGAACCGTGCCCGAACCGGAACCGGTCCATCTCTACTCAAGGTGTGTCGGTTGCACCGTATACGAACTGCATGTATGATGCATGTAACTATAGTGGAAGAGAATAAATACACTCCTCACTAAACACAACTAGATATGGTAAATAAGCAAATTAAGAAAATAAAACTTGTTTCATTGGAATGATATTTTTACGTAAAATAGAAAAACAATATGAACATGATATTATTATTCATTAGTAAAGGAAAAAAAATTAGACGAACGAATAAAGGACATTGATAGAATTTAATAGGCATATAGAAGGGTAATATTTTGTGATTTAATACATTTATATGGTTAGGAGAAGATCTTGAGATTTGAAGGTGCAATTCTTAACTACAGAGTATTGCTATAAGCTCATTTGGTAACACTGAAATTGGCAAAATCAATTAATTCTGTTGTAATTTATAAAGTTATGGCTGAAGTGGCTGGATTGCCTGATTGATGATTTATGAAAAAAAAAATATTTTAAATACTTTTTATTAATAGAATAAAGAAAAAATTAAATGAAAAATAGCTAAAATGATCATCTACAGGAAGTTCCAATACAGGCATAAAAGTAACTTCACCTTACTTTTTTCTTATTATTGCACAATTCAACGCATGCAATCAAAAGTTACGCATTTGATGGAAAAGTTGATTGATGAACCCGATACACCGAAAATCAATGATACCAAACGAGCTCTATATCTGATTCAAATTAGTAACCTAGCTATTTAGCCACGTTTCTTTCCAAAAGAATACTTTTTTATGAATTTGATGTGTGTGTGTGTATTGTGCTAAATGCTAATCTTTCAAATGTAATCATATGATCTCTTCTAATGTCAAATACTTTACTAATTTAGAAAATAAAGTGCATTTAAAGTTTAGATTTTGTAAAAAACAAATACATTTGATCTCTTCATGTGTATGTACTTTTGTAATATGACAATTCATTTGTAGGCTAAAAAGGTCAAATCGATCATGATTGAATTTTTTTTGAAAGGAAAACTACTTATATTAATATCATTAGGGTTCAAATCGTTACATCAAACTCAAAGACATCCATACTGACAACCACAAACTTTAACCAACTATCACTATCAACCCTAAGGCTAGACATAGAAACGACCACCCTTGAAAGAGCGATACGAATCGCTAACCATCAAAAGGGTATCCATCACTCACTGGCCATATCGATCCTTATAACAATATAATATCTAACAGAATTATCCCTCATTATTTTAGGCCTAAAACTACATAAATTAATAAAAAACAGAACAACGTAATTAAGCAAAACACTAAAAGACACCCATAAAAAATGTAATAACTGATAAAAACTCCAAACTCTTTCTGAAAACTTCATCTTCCACCAAAACTTGGCCTCTCGATCTTTCCAAGGCGGCGGTTCTGGAGGGGACGAATCATAAACTCATCATCTTGTTTCTCCCTTCCCGAATCTGGATTTCACTGTGCCAGATCTGCCCAAACAACCGCGTCAGTCGCCTTCCCAGCCATTTGGAGTCCAAATCAGCCCCTTTCTTCAAGCTCGAACCCATCATTGTACCTCCCGGATCAAAAACCACGGGTGTAGTTTCCATCTCAATGACCAATAAGGCCAAGATAACCCAGCCCAGTATCGATTTACCACGCCTCGCTACCTTACTGGTCGCAAATCCGCAGCCTCCTCCTGAATCGATGATCGCCAAAGACAGCCGGCCATCGATGTCGCCCTGCTCCATGTCATTTGCCCAAAAACACTAAATCAAACTCGTTCGGTGAAGTTGTTGTCGAGCGAGACACCTGCCGGAGTCCTGGTGCTTCAATTCCTCGCGAGCAGTCCAGGTGCTTCGAGCGAGACGCACACGTTGTGCGAAGAGAAGAAGAAAAAACGCGGATGAGAGAGTAATAAGAGCGTCTAAATGGTTAGCTAATTGTCATTATGTCTTAACTAGCCACACAAGCATTTGTAGCAAAATTGAAACGTACTCCAATGCTTAACTATAATTTTCTCCTCTTCATTTATTATAAATAAAGTTATGTTTAATTAATAATTCTTCTTGCTCAAGCTAGTAGTTCATTTTGACTGATTAGTTTTCTAATGCAAAAGGAAAAATAATGCTCCCATGGTAAGCTATTAGTTTTAAAATTGCAAACAAGTCTTCCAAATGAGTTTTCCTCACAATTGAAGGAGTTTTTTTTCGAATTAATGCTAATTAATTAATTAATTACGAAAATAATGTTGGGTTAAAAGTATTTACGGATCTACTGCTGAGTTTAACCGTGGTAGGGGTAAGTCGCCAAACCGTTTGGCGACTTATAAGTCGCCCAACCGTTGGGCGACTTACCCCTTAAACATAAGTCGGGTTCGGGCAGAACGCAACATTTCCCCCAAATCCCCAAAACTCCCAAACCCTCTGCAGCTCCCCCGACTCCGGCGAAGTGCGGCGACCCACCTCCCCCTGACTCCGGCGAAGACCCTCTAGGTCGTCGGTATGTTTTCAATCGTGATTATTTATGTTATTGTATGTTGAATGTAAGTATATTAATAATATCCATATTAATGAAACGGTTACATGAATGGTTAGATGGCTATTTGTTGGTCTAAGTCGCATGTCATCCGCTACTGGGCTCGGTGTCTACAGGGATGCATTTGATCGGATGTCTGAGGATCAGGTATGGTGTGGGTAATATAACATTAACTATAAAATGTATAGCATAAATACTAATTTTGTATCTTTATAAAACAGATTACATGGATGCCCTATACAGTTGAGATGTTTGCAGAGTTGCCCCCGGCTTTACGAGAGCATACTGACATATGGCGAGCACGTGTGCCGTTGATATGTTTTGACATTGTTGAGTTTCATTTGCATGATCGAGTCTTGCGACAGTTTGGGTTTGAGCAGGTCATTCCACGGCCTATCGACACTTATGTAGAGCTTCATAGGCTGGATAGGCGTGGGAAGCATTCGGAGGATTGGGCACTCAGACATGTCCGATACGTCACTATGTGGGACATCAGCGGGCTACTGCCACAGTGAGTGATACTCATGATGTGGACATGTATGGACAGACTCTGACAGGCATTGCCTCCTTGTGTTCAGATGTGTTGGGGCGAGTCGACTACGGCCATCTTATACACATGCCCCCATCTCAGGAGATGTCATCGACGTCTAGTGCAGCGGCGACTTCATCATCCCAGACGCAGCATGAGAGAGTGGTTCTTCAACCACGACCACGGCGTAGGCGTAGACATCAGCAGCAACATCTCCATGACCAAGATGATCAAGATGACCATGAGAACTTGTAGTTTGCCTTTTGTATTGCAGTTTTTATTGTACAGTAGATGTTGTAGGAACAATTTACAACATTTTACGTATGTTCTCTTCTAAACTCTTGCGTGTTGTCTTGATGTGTTCGAGTATGAATATTAGATGGCAGTAGTTGTTGGTCACAATTATTGTTCTCTCGAGCTTAAATAAGACGGAATTTCCAAAATAAAAGCAAAAACCTCAACTAACTGGTTACAATAGATTATTTAAATATTATTATTAGATTATTTCATTATTTAAGTCGAAAAAAAACTCCTATTATTTAAATAACTCCTATTATTTAAATATTCAAAAACCAATTCGAAAAAAAACTCCTATTATTTAAATATTCTTATTAGATTATTGTATTATTATATTATAAAAATCTAAAGGGAAAGTCGCCCAACGGTTGGGCGACTTATAAGTCGCCAAATCGTTTGGTGACTTATAAGTCGCCCAACCGTTGGGCGACTTTCCCTGACCACGGTTAAACCCAGCAGTAGATCCGTAAATACTTTTAACCCAACATTATTTTCGTAATTAATCAATTAATTAGCATTAATTCGAAAAAAAACTCCAATTGAAGATGCTCTAAGTAGAACAAATTTCTCTTTATATGAACGGTTTGATATGTTTTTCATAAGTTTTCCTCAAAATGTCAAGTAAAATGTAAAAGACGCCGTGATTAACATTGTTGAGATTTTTTTTATAAAAATCACATAAAAACTTGGAAAGAAATAAAAAGAAATGTCATTATTTTGTTTTTATTTATCCTCTCTCTCATTACATATACATATACATATACATACATGGGAGAATTCCCTAAACAGGAGTAAAAAAGTTTTGAAATTCCAAAATAGGAGTATCATGTTTTTTATTCCTTGAGTAGGAGTAAGATTCTGCCAAGTTTGGCATTACTAGGCTTTAAAACATGACATTTTTTCCCAAACTTAACAGATTACTTCTATTTAGTTAATATAAACATATACTTCTATTTTGGAATTTCAAGACATTTTTGTTCATATTTAGAGCAATTTCTATACAGATATCCATCGTGCACAAATTTAAACAAGTACCGCCGTCACATCCATTTTATTACCCGTTGAAATGCAATGCAATAGGTTCAAAAAATCCCAGATGTGCTCCGGAGTACATTTTATTTGTTCCTTTGATGCTTATTATTATTATTATTATAGAAATTGGTCTAAATAGGAGCAAAAATATTTTGAAATTCTAAAATAGGAGTCATGTTTTTTATTACCTAAATAAGAGTAATCTATCAAGTTTGGAAAAAATGTCATGTTTTAAAGCCTAGTAATGCCAAACTTGGCATAAACTTACTCCTATTTAAGGAATAAAAAACATGATACTCCTATTTTGGAATTCCAAAACTTTTTTACTCCTGTTTAGGGAATTCTCCCATGTATGTATATGTAATGAGAGAGAGGATAAATAAAAATAAAATAATGACATTTCTTTTTATTTATTTCCAAGTTTTTATGTGATTTTTATAAAAAAATTCTCAACAATGTTAATCACGGCGTCTTCATCTAGACATTTTACTTGACATTGTGAGGAAAAATTATGAAAAACATATTAAACCGTTCATATAAAGAGAGATTTGTTCTACTTAGAGCATCTTCAATTGTGAGGAAAACTCATTTAGAGGACTTGTTTGCAATTTTAAAACTAATAGCTTACCATGAGAGCATTATTTTTCCTTTTGCATTAGAAAACTAATTAGTCAAAATGAATTGCTAGCTTGAGCAAGAAGAATTATTAATTAAATATAACTTTATTAATAATAAATGAAGAGGAAAAAATTATAGTTAAGCATTGGAGTACGTTCCAATTTTGCTACAAATGCTTGTGTGGCTAGTCAAGACATAATGACAATTAGCTAACCATTTAGACGCTCTTATTACTCTCTCGTCTCAAATTGTTGGTTCTATACTTTGTGGGTTAAGAAAGTGTGTTAGAATGATCTATATATTCTTATTGTAGTGTTCACTCCTTTAATTTTATTGTTCATAAAAAAGAATGGTGTATATAAACGGTAACCTACTTTAATTTCTTTAATAAAAAAGGATTAACTACAACTATCAATTTTTTGGGGGGATAATTCAAATAGAAAATATTAAATATTTGACCATCATTTTGAGACGGAGTAGTAACATTTAGAGTTTTTTACCTATATAGGACTATATCTACCTTTGTGTGCACAAGTAGGACTCAAAACGTGAGTCATGTTTTGTAGGACTAAAATTGAGGTGATTTCCCTTTTTTAGCCTCAATTAGTTAGTCGCCTATTAACGGCAGTTTTTCGGAAAAAACGGGCCGCATAGTTATCGGAAAGAGTGCGAATTTAATATGGCAGATTTTTCCGGCGCAAGGCACGGCAATCGAGTATCAAACGCAACTACCCAAGTTAGTCTACCCAGTTACGCCATTGCAAAATTTCAATTTCGAAGAGGAGAACTGAAGACAAAAATCTGGAAGAGAAGAAAAAAGGAAGGAGAATAAGTGCGAAGATGGCCGGTAAAGATGGCGCAAATCAGACGCCCGGACGACAGAGAGAGCGGCGTAGAGCAGAACTGGTATGTTTAACATTTGAGCATCATAATTAATTTAGGGTTGATATTTAGGACGAATTCAAAGCCAAATGTTTTCATGGCGTGGGACTGAGAAATGGAAGTTTTAATTTGTAGTAGACATTGCCAACAATTTGGAAATTCATAGAATGAAATATGGCAGAATGCAATTTTGGTGTAACGGTATAAATGGCAAATATGTGTGAAATTTTTTGTTATTTAAGGCGGAAAATGGCAGAAAGGAGAAATTGGATGAATGGATAAAGTGGCAAAGAAAAAATGGCAGAAACGGAATGGAAATCTTGTTTTGGCAAAAAAATGAAAACATATAGTAAGCTTAATGGCTAAAAGTGTATGTATATATTGTGAAAAATGTAGTTATGACAATGTTGATGTTTTAGTTGTTTCCAATTGTATATCTACCACATATGACCACGATGTTTGACAAACGTTTGGGTGTTTGGTGCTAGTTTTTTGTCAATTAGTACATATGTTCCACGTTAATGGCAAAATGATGAAATTAAAGGACTATTTGATAGTAGTGGTAAACAAGCAAAGGATTTCTGTGGAATGTTTTGTATTAATTTTTTCCAAACATTTGGAAAATAATAGAGAGGAAAATGGCAGAATGGACTGATGTTTGATTAAACATTGATAGTGTATTTAATTGTTTCCAATGGTAATTGTACCACATATGACGCATTGATTGGCTGTATGCACATGATGTTTGTCATAGTACTTCCATAGTTAATTGGAAAAATGTATTGTTGTGTGATAATTTAGGTGATACATAGAAAATTTGGAAGGAATCAACTGCAAAATGTAGAGAGCATGAGGATAAATTGCTACTGCAGTTTGGCGGAGGTGGTGAAGAGGATAAAGAACCAACTAAAAGAGGAGGAACTCATTGAATTCAGGAAGAGTGTATTTGGATGGGTGTTAGATGTGGAAGAAATGCGTACAATTAGTGGTCAGCTTCAACTGGGATTTCTTTGCAACTACGTTAAAAAAGTAAATGGCATGAAAGAGACAGGTGCCATTCGTTTTCATATTGAAAATAGTCTGATTACTTTAAGGAAAGACGATCTTTGCATGGCTCTAGGTCTTAAATTTGGAGGAGTGAAACCAAATACGGAAGATAATTTCAGGGGTACGTTGTGGAGAAAATACTTTGGTAACAAATCCGGGGTGAGAAGGTCTGATTGTCAAAATGCGTTAATGAATTACAATAGCGAGGACCCTGAAGCAGAACGAAATGATGGAGTGAAGCTTGCGTTGCTCCATGTACTGTAACATGGTCTTTTTGGCAACCAGGTAGCAAGAGAATTACCAGCATTGTATGTGAATTTGGTTGATAACTTGGATGGGTTCAATGACTACCCGTGGGGAGACGATGTCTGGACTGAGTTGGTAGATATTATGCGGACCAATTCAAAGAGTTTAAAGAAATGCGCAAGGCAACGAGTGACACTGCCAAGATGTTTGATTGCCATCCAAGTTTGGGCATTTGAAACCTTCACAGGGCTTGAAAAGGCAGAGATATGCAAGTTGATTGAAGGGAGAGAGTCTCGAATACCAAGGGCAGTCAAGTGGGAATTCATTAAAAAACCATAAATGGAGTTGTTGAGCAAAATAATATTCAAGAATGAACAGGTAGTACATCTGACAGAATTGCTAATTAATAGGTTGCAATCTGAATAACAAACCATTTGCTTTTAAATTTTAATATTTTGTATTTTTCTTGTTTTGTGTGCAGTTTGAGTGGAAAATGATGGAGCCTACAAATCTGGAAGGTGAACATTTCCCTAACTTACTAGCCAATGAAAGGTTGAGTTCTGAGAGGAGTAGCAATGATGGAATTGATATTGTTAATAGAGTTGATGGGGTGAAGGTTTTTGAGAAAAAAAGGAAAGAATGTAAAGACCAAACTTTCAGCAAAAGTTGTAAAAAAATCAAAAACCAAAGCAAAGGAAGAAGATATGGAATCTGAGAAGGAGGAGGATGATGGTGGGAGGGTGGGTTTTGGAAGTGCAAGAAAGTTGGAATTGACGTTGAGGAAGGTTAGGAAACTTAGTAAGGAAAATGCCAAGATTATGGCAGAATTAAGAGAATTGAAGAAAATTCAAAAGAGGCAGGAGAAGATGGTAAAGCAGTTACTGGAAGCGATGAATAGAATGACCAAGAATGAGCAGACAGAGACTGAGGAGCTTAGGGTGCAAAGCAAGGAAAAACAAAATACAGAAGAAGGTGATGAAAATGTAGAAGGAGAAAAAAGGAATGATGAAGACCAAACTGCATGTGCAGAAGATGATGATCCAGTGATCAGTAGCGTGCCCAGTTTTTCCATATTCGGTCCAGAGACACAAGAAAAATTTCAGGAAGAGCAAGTAGAAAATGGAAGTGACCGAATTGTGTTTGAGATGAGGAAAGAACCTGAAAAGCAAGGAACAGTGGAACAAGGACATAAGGATAGTGGTGGACTAGTCAGAAGTGAAGAGAAAGATGGTAATGATTCTTCTCATAGAACAGAAGTTAGCAAAGCTGGGAACATGGAAGAAGAAGGGGGGACCAACAACAAAAAAATGAAGAACAGAATAGCGGTGTGCAAGAAACTGATACTAGAAGGGTGCATATTCAGGAAGAGGTTTGGGAAGATTTGAATACCCAATTTGTAAATGAGTTGATAACAAGCGTGGATGTAGTTGAAAAACTTGTATTAGGTGACAAAGTTGCAGAGGAGCATACGCAAAAAGGAGAAGTAAGTAACACTTTTCTTTGAGTCTTATTTTAGTCATACTTGAAAACATGAAAAAAAACATTAAAATTTAATGATTAAATAATATGAATTGTGAATTACAGAAAACTGCAGACGAGCATTTACAACGAGTAGGAGAAGGGAACGGGAGTACAAGCATTGGTTCCGAAGTGATCAAAGAAAAAAGTGTATGTGAAATGGAAATTAATTGTGATTCTAAATCCATAAAAGTGAAACTTACTTGTACAACGTGTTTGCTTTGGGTGTGCTGCAAGTGGAGATGACATGTGCACCAATTGGAAGACCTAAGCGAAATGCAAGATCACCTGACAGATTTACACCTGCAGGGAATATTGAGGTCACAAAGAGGAGACGGAAGGAAAGAGCAAAAAGAAGTGAAGAGGACCAATTTTTACCGGCGAAAAAGTATGAGCCTTTTGCTGAAAACCCATCTCAATATCCACCGGAAGAAGAAGTAAGAAAGGTGGAAAAGTTTCTTGAAACTGGACTATTGAAGCGGCCGACAAAGGAGGGAGGTGGCAGAAAATACCGCAAAGAAGAGGACAACATGCATGGCGTACCTTTTATTTTGGACGTGGCAAAAATAGAATCAAAAACATGGTTATACAAGCTATTTGTCAATCCGGAATGGCTGGATGATACGGTAATGTTTTTGTACTATAATTATAGAAATATAACAGTTTGTTTGGATGTAATACTTGAATGTGAAATATAACAGTTAGTTTGGCTGGATTGATGAATTGTTTGTTTTTGGAAAATTTTCAGCATATTTTTGTAGGAATGCACTACTTGAATGTGAAGCAAGTGCAGTACAAGGTGAACTACCCCTACAGCACAAGTGGCCCATTTTTTATGCAAATGTTGAAACGGCTGAATGACAAGATAGAAAAAGGGCAGGCAACGATTCAAGACGCAACAAACATTGCGGTCATCGAAGATGACATTATGGGTAGTGCTTCACCATTTTCTAGGGGCTGGGCAGATTGTGATTTCGTGTACCTACCTCTTAACAATAACAACCACTGGGTTTTACTGGTTTTGGACGTTAAAAAAAAGAAAATACGGGTTTACAATTCCAAAAGCAGAAGGGCGGATAGTGTAAGAGACATTAGACCCTATGTTCCGAGCTTACAACGCTTGCTCCCAAAAATAATGGATGTGCATGGGGTTTATGAAGAAATTGGGTTGGAGCGTATGGAAAACAAAGTGTTGGAGTTGGAGGCTGTGGAGGACTGCCCACAACAAGAAGACGGGTAACATCTTACCTGTACATTATTTTACTGACAAATATTAAAATTTGGACATTAATATGTACAACTATAATAATTAAGTACTAATAGTCTTGCATTAATGCAGGGGCAACTGTGGCATGTACGTATTGATGATGGCCGAGTTTTTTATTATGGGACTAGATATAAAAGATATCAAGTCAAAGGACATGCCCATGTATAGGAAAAAAATGGCCACGGAGTTGGTGTTGTACTACAACAAGAGGATGCAGGAGGCCAAAAAAAAGGGAAGGACTTTGAAGATTGAATAGTGAAGGATGGGAGAGGGATGGATGAGAAGCAAAGTAGTTGCTATTCAAAATTCACATCAAATTTGACATTGTGAACATTTTTCTTGTCTATTTTAAGTAGTTTGACCTCAAATGCAGACAGAGTATTTTGGTTTACTGATGTAGTGTAGTTTGAATTCATAATGTTGTGGTGGATTGAATTTTTGGTGGCTTGTGTTTTGGTCAGCTAACTATTTGTTATGCAGCGCTAAAAATGCCATATATTTGGCATTTTCTGGGATATATAATATTTTTGGACATGGAATAATATGGCAGTGTGTTAGACTGTTAGCTTGTACATTTGGGAATGATTTATTGTTATGTTGACATCAAATGCGAAGGAAACTGGTGGGTGATACATTTTAAACGAGCTTGTGACAGTGAGGTTGAAAAAGAATTAAGAACATAAACATGTATGTACGCATAAAGTGTGGGAATTATGCATCTAATGGCGTAGTGTTATCAATTGTAGACATTGAATGGTAGTTAATAAGATGACAAAATGAGGTAGTCCGCTAGTACACGTCTGAAAATTATGTGAAAGATTTTTGTTTCGGACTTGATAAGAATGACTTGAACATAAATGAGAAACTAACATTAATAGTTTTTAATTAATAAAATGCCATTTTTGTGTAATTAACGTGTGAATTTGTAGTACTTAGATATGGCAAAAGAACCTGAAAACTGTTTAATAAGCTTGTGTTTTGAAGTTAATAAGAATGTAGCGGATTGAATGAAAAAGTAAAATTCTAGCATTTTAGAAATAAATGCCAAATGTTTGGCATTTTGGGTTGTTTTAAGGTAATTGTGTATATGGAAAATACATTAAAATTGGAGCAAGTGCAATTATGATATGCAACAAAACAATTGCAAGACACATGGTATTACAGTGAAATTGAAAACAACACATAATAAAAAATAGTCAATTGAAATAGTGGCAAAAAATTGTGCATTAATGTAGTTAATGAACGTGGACATTTGTAAAGGATGAAAACATAATAATGGATTCTTAAATAAGTAAACTTAAAAAATACATCAATCATTTAATATGGGCAGTGGATTGCGGCAGGTTTTCTTGTTGTGTCCAAAAGCATGACAACGGGAGCATTTCTGACGCTTGGTTCTGTGATGTTCACCGATTGATGGAATTCTTGACTTTTTTGGACGGCCAAGTGGTCTTTTTAGACATGAAGGCGGCTTGCAGCGAACATTCAAAACATCACGAGGAACCGACCAAGAATCTACATCACATATAGGGTGCATGACAGCACTCCAGGTGGACAACCAATAATCACGCGTATAATATGGGGATATATAATCATAGCATGACATGGCTGGGCGGGTAGCAATAGCAGAAACAGCATGGACACAAACGAAATGAGATAATTGAAACTCCCCGCAACTGCATGTCTTAGAATTAAGATCAACTACAAAGGACCGACAATGCCTATCCACCACTTCAAACTCTGTATAAGATGCTGGCTTGACCTGTAGTGTTTTATAATATTAAAAATTATTAAAAGTCAACAGATGGAAATTTACACCAATAAGGTGTTAGAAATAATCTGGAAAACATGGAAGAATAATGAAACTTGTACAGAGAATGCCATTTATTTTGGAAAATTTGCCAAATCCAAAAAACTGATGTGAAAGAAAATGCTTCTTTGAAGAACATAAACTAATTAACTACAAAATGCACGAATAGCAAGTTACCTGCATCCTGCAAGCTTGTCCTTGAAGGGTCACCAGATGCTTCTCACGTGTGGGTGCCAGAATTGTGCGTGTTTTTTCAGCGCTTTCCTTCCTTTCGGTGAACCATTGCTGCATTCTTTCCCTCAAGAAATCAATCAGTTTTGATATAGAATACTCCCTTGCAAAGACATTAACGTTGTTCATAGATTCAGCACAGTTGGAAGTCATGACATCATACCTCCTCGGACCTGACATGCACTTAGCCCACTTTTCTAAGCCAATCTTTTCAAGCCAAGGTCGTATACGAACATCTTCAGAATCCAACAAGGACATATATTCCTCAAACTCCTTAGGTGTGGAAGCCATATATGCAGCCTTGAACTTCCAACCTAAATTCTTACCAGCACCCCTGAACTTTGGAACCATGTTTCGCCTAAGGTGCTCAACACAATATCCATGAAGAGCATGAGGGAAAATATCTTTAACAGCACTACGAATACCTTCATGTCTATCTGATATGATAAACATATCAGATCGGAAGGTTATAGATTCACGAGCTTGGATCAAAAACCAATTCCATGAAGCTTTAGATTCGGAATCACAAATTCCAAACGCTAAAGGTACAATATGACCGTTAGCGTCTTGGGCGCAAGCTGTTAGTAGTGTCCCCTTATAGTACGCCTTCATAAATGACCCATCAACGATTAAAACTGGTTTGCAAAAATCCCATGCTTTCCGCCAAGGTGAAAGAGACATAAAAAAGTAACGAAACTCATCCAAGTCACCAATTATTAGAGAAATTGCAGAATTTGGATTTGTCTTTTCTAGAATATAAGCCATGGAAGGTAGTTTCTGATACGACTCTAGATCAGATCCAAATTGCCTTTGCATGGCTACCTTTTGAGCTTTCCATGATTTCTTATATGACTTGGAAATGCCATGAGCCACACTCATTTCTTCCCGAATTTGTTTTGGTGCATACGGTTTCCTTGAAGCATCCAAAAATTTATGGGAGATTAGCTCAGCAATGGTGCGATATGTTGCTTGTCTATGCTTTCCTTGCCTAAAGTCCATGGAGCATGTATGTGTAGAGTCAAACCTGCAAACCATATGTGCAGCATTGGCAGAAATGTCAAAAATGTGGCAGATTATAAGACGTTCAGAATGGTAAAATACAGATAAAATCGGAACATACCTTCTAATCTGAAACATTTGCACACCGCGTAACTTCACACCCCTGACAGCCCATTTGCATTTCTCATCACAACAAACAACATGCAAAACAGTTTTCTTGGATGTACGTGTTTGATATTGAAATCCATTATCAATCGCATACAACCTCAAATGGTGATTGAGGTCATATTTAGAGTTGTATATGGCATGTTTCGTGATTTGAGTGGGATGATAATGGGTGATAACTTCCACATTATGATGGAAGGAAGATGACTCAGTAGGAATTAAACGAGTAGGAGGTGACTGACAAGGACTCACATCAGACCATGGACTATGACATAGGTCATCATTGATTCTGTTGGGACTTTGTGACCGTGGTGAGACATTGGATTCATGACGAACAAAGGTGTAAGAGTTAGATTCAGAATTCAGCCCACTAATATTGTCATGTTCTGTAAAAGAAACTTGGGATGATGAGGGGGAAATCTCAGGTATGGTATTTTCCATTGTTGGCACTGTGCAAGGCTTAGAAATATCAGTTGAAAACTCCAAACATAAGGGGTACTTGCTCAAATCAGTATGAAGAACCTTAAGGTTAAGGAAAAACCGAAAAGTGTCTTCATCATTGATATGTACAGGTGGAGGGCAACCATCAACCATATAAGATAACTTGAAGTGATTTGTTGCATTGTAGTAATCACTTAACATGGAAGAAAGTTGTTCTATAAAGTCTTTGTATGTAGATGAATAAAGAACTTGAATAGCGAAGATCAGGTTACTGTTGAAGCTATAGTCATTGGTCCAACTTCCACCAAACTTCAACATAACCGGTACAATACAATCCATATGGGTAACTAGAGAAAGGAATATAAATTGGTCAAATAAAATGAACAAGACTATGACAACTCTGAATAAATATTATGCCAAGATTTTGTCATTTATTCCATCCGAATACACCAAACAGAGCATCATATCCACAATTAAGTTCTATGATGTTAATGAGTAAAACCATGAACAATAAGATCATAGCTGCATACCTAGGACCATACTATACAGATTTCAACACAAACATGGTACATGATTGTCGGTTTCGAATTATATAACAATGATGATTAACAATAAACACATTAAAAACAAGAATAATGTCGTGAACTAGTTCTAAAACATGAAGAAACTGATAATCGCAGGAGTTGCTTATTACCAGAACAATTGCAGAATGTGTTTGACCTCACGAAATGTTCTTCATCGTCAATTATGACAAACAGGGAAAAAGATGAGATATGGAATGATCGTTGAAACGCACGTACGTATCAAGATAATAATCAGCAGCGTAAAAACAGGGGAGGGGAAAGTGATTGAACGTATGTTAGCGGTAAAGGGGGAAACGGTTATGCACTAAAGGGCTAAACTGATGACCGTACATATGTTAGCGTTAAAGGGGGAAACGGTTATGCGTACATAAGAGGGGCAAATCTGTACCAGTGTCAACCGTATGATTCAATATAGGATTAATATGATCCTATTAAGGGAAAGAAACCTAGGAGATCCTATTTAGGAATTTTAAGAAGTATTTAGTCCTATATGAGGCTATTTCTTTAACATTTATGCATCTATCTATATCATGCCACATATGCACTGTCCATATTTTTACGTTTACATTTTTTAATTAGGGATGCTCTTATTGATGGTTCACCTCATCAACAAAAAAATGTCAACAAAATTAATTGTAATAATCTCTGTATGCATCATTAAAATGTTCCTGTTTTCTAATGAATTTATGTGCACTAAAAACTACGGAGGACAACATTTTTTCTTTAAATGCTTGAGTTTTTTTAGGCTATGTTTGACACGCATAAGTATCTACCTTCTAGCTTTTGTACTGTTCAAAAAGTTTCCAAAAGCTTCTAATTATATGTTTGACATGATAATTTTTAAGAGCTTTTCAAAAATTAAAAGATCTTTTTTGAGATGCTACAAGGAGTAGCATCTGAAAAAAGCTCGTGCCTTTTAGTTTTAATTATTCCTAATAGCTTGTATACCAAATCGAACTAAATCAAACAGTCAGTTTTTTACCAAACAGCTATCACCTTTTCTCTTTAAGATCTTTTCAGTCACTAAAAGCTAACAGTTATTAAAAAGCTCACAAAAGTATCTTTTCAGCTAGTTGTGCCAAACATACCCTTAATCTTATGTTTGTTTAAGATTTTAATTTTCAATAAATGAAAAATTAAACCTTTTTAAGAAGCCGTCCAATACTTAAATGTGAACCGATGAACGAGTTAAAAACTTAGAATTAGAGGAAGGAAGATCACCCGTCACCAATTCCGTCTTTCTCATTTTGTTCAAGTACCGGGGATAGAGTCACACTCTCTATCTGTCAGATTGAGATTATAGTCCAATTTACATCCTCCCAACGTACCGTTCGGTCGGAGTTGGGGGCCCTCAGGGATGGAGTGTCATCCTTTTTTTGTCTTTCTCATTTTGTTTTTCTGAAATACAATGTCTAATTTTTTTAATCCTTATTGAGTTGCATACTTGCAGGTACCTTGTCCTTTTTTTTTCCTTTTCAAGTATTTGTGCCCACATTTCATAATTAAATGGTCCATGGGATGTATGTAGAGCAGTGTAATCCTTCAGTCCCCCCACACATTTCCTCCCTATCTCCCAATATGTAATTTTCTAATTTCACTTCAAGAGGTATGAGTTGGGTCCATCTATTAAATAGGTGGTGGGCATAAGTATTATGGAGTCACTGCTGACTGGTCTGCCACGCGGGTGCCACATAAGCACGTGACTTGCCAATTGAATTAATTGATTTTTTTAAAATCTCAGAGATTTGATAGATTTTTTTAAAAATAAGAGGGTTTAAATGACATTTTTGTGATAGTACGATGATCAAATTGTCAATTTTCCAAAAAGTTATTATTCTTCTCTACACACTACAAAAAAATTACGGGATTGACACGGAATTTGGCAGGGACTTACCGATTTTTTGTGCCAAATAGCTCGTGCCAAAGAGTTTTTGGCACGGATTTGACATTTCGTTGTCAAAATCTCTGCCAAATTCCTGCCAAAATCTCTGCCAATCCCGTGGGTTAAAAATTGTAGTGACATGTACATGGGCATAGTTAAAAATTGCATTTTGTTACTTCAATTCATATGTGAAGTTTGCACTTGTCTAGAGATTCTCTTAACTCTCATAGTCGCTTATGTCCATTTTTATTGTAACTTGTCTTTAGTACTTAAGAAATATTTACATATTAGTCAAACTTATAACGTGCAAAAAGTTGATGGTGACAACTCCGGTACCTTTCTAAAAAATGGGGTACCGTACCTACCATTCATTTGATTGGATCACACTATTTTATTATTTTTAATTTAGATTTAAATTATTCAACTGCTACATTCTCATTGGTCCATGTGTACAAAGGTATGGTACCTTATGGGTACCATAGAATCTACCAAAGTTGATTACTCGTATTGGGTTTGGTACATGATATCATATTTTACTTCCCCCGTACCACAATATTCTTCTCACTTTGACTTGACACGAAGATTAAGAAAGTGAAATAAAATGAAAATATGTGGTTATAGTTGTGTAAGAAAAAAGTGAAATGAATGTGAATCACACAAATTGTCAAAAAATGGTAAGTGTGAAGAATTTTTTGGGACGACCCAAAAAAGAAAGTGAGAAGAATTTTATGAGACAGAGGGAGTAGTTTTTAGTTGCGTGTATATATATATCGACGACAACATACATCCAATAAATAACCTTTAAACATTCAATCTATTTTTTTTTGCAAACTCATCAAATAAATTGTTAATCATCCAAATTGGTCAAAAAGTTTAAGGAGTGTCACAGTTATAAATACGAGTGATGATTGTGACACAATATATGGTGTAGTAAGTGTGCTAAACAAGATTATATGGTCATTAACTTTCTAACTGCTACGTACTCCATATCGAAATGTTAAATGTATTCACATTTACAAGGAGGTAAGGGTTAGATTGGTGCTCGAAATTGCATAAAAAGGGTCAAATAAGTCTTTACTGTCCCGTCATTGTCATTTGGGGAGGTTCCCGGTGGAATTTTTTGATGAAATTTTTTGAGCATCTTATTCATTATGTCTAGTTTACTCATACCAAATTTACGCTAAAACTTCAATAGTTAAGGCATTCAAATGAATTCTTGAAGGTAATTGCGCTTTTAACTGCGCAGTTATCTTCAAGACTTCATTTGAATGACTTCCTGATTGAAGTTTTAGCTGAAATTTGGTATGAGTAAACTAGACTTAATGAATAAGATTCTCAAAGAATTTCATCAAAAAATTCCATCGGTAACCGTCCCGAATGGTGATGTCCGGACAAAGTCTCCTATATAAGGACTTATTTGATCCTTTTTATGCAACTTCGAGGACCAATCAGACCTTTACCTCCATTTACAAGTGTTTTGAGAAAATGGAGGGGATAAGTTTTACAGATCGAGTAGTATAGAACTCTAACTCTCAATAAAGAAGACAATAGACTTCGAGTTCACAAAAAGTGCTTCATTAGATAATTTTACGTTACATATAATTATTTTACTACCTCCGTCCAAAAAATTACACAGATTAACAAAGTGCGAGAAAAACCTAAATTATCTCCCATTTTACTATACTAGTAAAAAAGTAAATAAAGTTGGAACGACGAAGTTGTAAAATTTAAGTAAAATGAAGGACAAAATATGAATTATATGTAGAATCATTTGCGAATGAGCAAACGTAATCTTTACTTTTGGTACATTCAAAGAGGAAATATAACTTGTATTTTGATATAGGAAGTATAACTTTTATTCAAAAAGGATATATACTTGGTGCATAATACGAGTACGTACTACGCATGAATTGAAATTGAAATCTTGATTTTCTAAGGTGCTAGGCAATGGCCTGGTGCCACGAGGTAGACGGCCCGATTAATTGGTTTGACGTCTAGGTGAATTAGTCGGTCGCCTAGGATGACTAAATGTCCTCCCATAGCGCTTAATCGGCCACCTAGGACGCCTAGTTTCACCATTATTATTTTTTTGCTTTTTTATTTTACTTTTTAGAAATTACTCAATATAAGACTAAAACAGTGATAATCCTATTTATGAACTTTATCCTTGTTGTAGTTCTATATCTGAAATTTTCTCTTTAGTTTCCTAAGAGATACATGTTACATTTAACTTTAACAACACATATGAGGAAAACTACTAGTTGTAGATTAAGATAGAATTATACATGTTTGTATAGAATCTTAAATGTTATTATTATTATTTAATAATATTTATTGTATAATGAAGTTAAGTGAGTATGTATAATATATTATTAAATGAGATAACTCTGTCATTCATCCATTTTAATGTGTATGTGTGTGTATTTTTCATACACACACAAACACAACGTTACTAATCATATTTGTAAAGAAACATTGATAAAACTATAATTTTTATGTCTGCGACTAGTCCCCGTCTAGGCGCCTAGGCGATGGGCTGGCGCTCGACTAATGCCTAGCGCTTTTTAGAACATTGAGCATAATATGTATTCCCTACTAGATTATTACGGGTGTATATTTGTATACTTTCATTTGTTCCAAAAGTATTTTTTTTGGAAGAAGAGAGCTTAAATTGATATCACAACATTCAGATATGGTGTAAAACGACAAAAGGACCACAAGCAACCGTCAGTGAGTCAATCGCCTTCAAAAAAGCAATATGACTCGTTGATCCTATAATGGGCATAACTTAAATGAGCCGATGACGGTAAAAGCAAGCTTCCGATCACCCAATCCTAATGCAAGAGTCTTACAACAATAAAAGTAACCAACAGAAAAGTAAATAGTCTGATCATGAAAAATAAATAGCAAGCAAATAGTAAAATTAAAAAGTTGTTTCCAAACCCTAGACTCTCCTGCACTCCATGATGGCGGTTCAAGAGGGGGATAGTCCAACAATACTGTAGCTTCTTCCTCTCATCACCTCTTATTCATCATATTCTCTATCAAGTCTCCTTTGTTGCCTAACACGGATGACCTCGAATCCAGATCTGTTCTAGCCCCTGCCCCACGCTTCGTCCATGACCTTTTGATCTCAACCATAAACGACATCCTCAAAATTCTCCACTTAATGTCAGGGGTGCACAACCTTTGGTCGTCATATAGGCGTTGAGTCCTGCTGAAGAGGAAAGCCTCACGAATGACGAATGAAAACCGCACAAGAATGCTGCACTTCGTCGAAGATGAAAGCGGAGGAAACGACCCCTAAACCTAGGGGAGAACACCGCTCCTCGGTAGAGCCGATAGCGGAAAAGAAAACCCCAACAGCGGAAAATCACCCTTTCCAAAAGTATATTAAAATAAGAGATTTTTCCTAAAATATTGCCAATGAAAACAATTATGATAAAAATGTGATTATAAGTTATTATGAGTAAGTTTTGTTGTAATCAGGGGCGGAGTCAGGGGAGGGCCAACCCTGGCCCTGACCCAACCTAAATTTAAAAAATGTTCATATTTTTAGTGTAAAAAATTATGTGTAAATTTTTTTCCAAATATATTTTTTGTATCGGCCCAGTCCGGCCCAGTGCTCTCGCTCCGCCCCTGATTGTAACTACAGAAGAAAAGACTTATTCAAAATCACTAATTGAATTGAATCGAGATAATTTTGAACCTAAAACTACGTCACTGCATTCGCAAGATAACAAAATCAGTTTTTTGTACAATCCCGTTTCAACTTGAAGCTTTACCAGTTTCTGTTCAGAAAAAAAATAGCTACTAAATTAAATTCTTATAATTCATTCGACCAAAATGATAAAAGTTACCGGATTAATAATAGCTACTCTATAATTTTACTAAAAATAGTGTCAACAACTATTTGTAACAATTGAGAGCAAAAGAATGGAATTTATTACTCATTTAGCAAATGACGTGTGTGTGCACATGACATGCCATGATGAACACAATAAAAAATGAGTGGAGTGCTACTTATGCACATAATTTGTACACATTTGTTGTACACACTATCTAGTTGTCGTGTACACAAACAAGTAGAGGGTATATAGAACAAATGTGTACAAATGACTTTTTACAAAATGAATTCAGTGTATTTCTTTTTTATCACGGTAACTCCATAAGAAAGGGGTTGAAGAGCCTCTTTCCATGAAGATTCAAACTCGATAACTCTATAAGAAAGAATGAGTGGGCAACAAGTAAACTAGTGAGTTTACGACACTTTTTTAATTCCCCTATTTGGATGAAGTTTCGAACTCGAGAACTCTATATGAGTTGAGAGAGCAAGTGGGCCACAAGTAAACTGGTGAGTTGACGTCCTTTCCTTACTTTCATGAAGTTTCGAACTCGAAAACCTTATATGAGAGAGTGAGCGGGCGACAAGTAGACAAGTGAGCCGACTCCTCTTCAAATTAGTGTATTTATTTACAGGCGGGGTCTAGCTAGTTTAAAACCCCAGCATTTAAGTATCTTGTACCAACCCAAGAGTCAAACAGTTCTGCATTAATTATAGATAGCTGAAGAAGATCTGAGAGAAAAAAACATAGAGAAGAAGAAATGGAGAATGCGGAGGCGGAAGGGGGGAAAGAAATGAACTATCCATGCAAGTGGTTGGAAGAGATGATTAGGGGCATGCTTAAGTGCCTGGGTCTTCACACAGCAGATTATCACCCATCTCCATCATCACCTTCTTCTTCTTCCTCTTCGAGTTCAGCTGATGAAAAGGACGGCGCAGATGATCCCCTACACCCTCCCACAGATGATCCGCCAACATCAACAAATGACCCACCAAAATCTCTTTTATTACTGGTAATTATTCCCACTCTATTTTTCCTAATTATTGATTTCACTTTATCGAAACCCCCCTTAGATTCCATGACACGCACACACATACATGCACTTCATCCATCCCCAAATAAGAAGATCTGAGTTTAAATTCACTTTTTTTAATTTAATTATATTTTTTAATTATTTTGTATTTGTAAATAAAATATAATCAAAGTAAAGCATTCGAATAATATAAAATCCACATGTGTTTTGAAATACACATTATTTTTACTCCATAATTTTTAGAAACACATTTTGGCTTAGTTCATGATTTCTAGTATTTCCTTGTAAACATCTTTAAAACGCATACAATTTAAAATAAGTTAATAGGGACAGCCGGGAGATCGAGGTATGTTCTTTAATACTGTGACATCCTAAAAAGATAAGCTTTGAAGTTTGGACTTCAATTTATGGACAGGAATGTAAATGTGGTGAACATGTATATATTGTACTGCAAAAGAAATAAAGAATACTGTGTGTTTATTATAGGCCCTTTTCTAGTCTTGTGTCCCAAATTTGCATCAGAATTGATGATTATGAAATGAGAAAAAAAATGACCTTAAGACAACTGTCATAAGATAAGACCAGCTTTTAGTGTGATGGCCAGCTGCCAATTTGTATCAAAATTACCCCGGCCAATCCATAGATTCTCAAATGGTGCTCCACCGGTGGGCGTAGCCCAACTGGTAGCGAGAGAGTGACACATTGGTTAGGTGTCAGGTTCGAATCCCGACAACTGCGATGAGAAGTGACTATGCTAAATAGGGTCTCTGCAAGTACTGGGAATAGAGCTCCACTCTATATCTGTCAGATTGGGATTATAATCCAATTTACACCCTCCCAACGTACCGTCCGGTCGAGGTTGGGGGCCCTGGGTGTCATCCTTTTTTTTTCTCAAATCGAGCTCCATCTAGCTAGGTGAAGGATTAAACCACTTCAGGTTGGGTTTTGTTGGATTTAGGGAATAACTGGTACTACGTATATATGAAAGTAATTTTTTCGTCCCTTCAAGTTGTTTCATCTTTCCTTTTCGATTTGTCCCATTAAATTGTCTCATATCAAATCTAGTAAGTTTGTATGGTTCTAAATCATTTTTACTTTATTCTTATTTTATCATTTCAATATCAAACACAAAATCCACTTTTCTTAGTAACCGTGTTACCGGCCTCCTCATGTTCCAATGTTAATGGGATAGATGTAGTACATACTCCCTCCGTTCCAATTTGTTTTGCAAAGTCAATATTTTTTGGTCAACCAATAATAAAAGTCAATCCTCCCTATGAATAATTAACTCAATTTTTAATAATTAAAATTTACATATTCATAAACTACATCAACATCTCTTCAAAGTTGCAAACTCCAAATTAGAATATAATTAAAAATTGGCATCCTAATTAATTGAACAAAACGAAACTGTTTGGCCAAGAAAAGTCAAATTTGCAAATCAATTTGGGACGGAGGTACGGACGTAGTACATTATAGGGAGTTAACAGCAAGCCCATATTCGGAATGATAACATTCTGGACAACTTTTTTTTTAAATGATTGAGTTAAAAGTGAAATTTAAATGTTTAATGTAATCTTGATTATGATGAAAAAGAGAGAACTTGTTTTTTGCATATGAAGCATGAGAGTCAATGTGGACAGGGGCGGACCCAGGAAAGTCATCTTGGGGGGTGAAAATATTTTTTAAGGGGTTCAAAATATTTTTTGGAGGAGAGAAAATTATTTTTCATATATATATATATATATATATATATATATAGCCTTCAAGTTTGTAGAATTTGTTGATAATCTATCTGTTGACTGAAACAGTAATGACAACTTTGTTGCTTCATTTTTGTATCTTGCTGCTCATAGTGGATAGGACTTTGTGGGCCTGAAGCTTTTGGATATATGGTACATTATTTATGGGCTCAGGACCAAGTCTACAGCCCATATATCATGGAATTTTAGGGATCATCAATGCTCACATGGACGCTCCAACCTAATATATAGGCTTGGGTCGGGAGGAGCCAAGCTTATAGTCTCTCCGTCCCATTGGACTTTGACAACTTTCTTTTTTGGTTGTCCCAAAAAAGTTTGTCACTTTCCTATTAAAGCAACTAATTTGTGGTTCTGCACATTTCTCTCTCCTCTGCACAGATCTCAACCACAAAGTTTTTTACTATTCTTATTTCTCACCTACTTCGCATTTGGCAAAGTCCACCGGGACGGAGGTGGTATAAATAACAAATTTTGTGGGTTGGGCTTTTGTAACAGCTAATATAGCCCATAGTTTACTATATAGGTAGGGGCTAAAAGGAGGCACAAAGGTCATTAATCCTACCACATATGACAAAATAATTAAGGATGTTTTTTTTGGACTCTTTTCAGTCCAAGACCAGATCAGATAAGATCATACTTAAAAAATCAAACAATACCAGATCAGATTTAAACAGATCAAACCATACCAGATCATATTTGGACAATTATAAAATACACAGAGACTATATATTTACCAGATAAAATCATTACAGATCAGATTTAAACAGATCAAACCACACCAGACTAGATCAATAAATTTCAAACCAAAAGAAAACATCCTAACTAAAAAAATCCAAATGTGAAGAACTAATCCAAAATCTCCAAAGATGAAACTTATCTGAATGGCTGATGTAATGAATAGAATCTAGATACCCTAGAGGGACTACTTTTATAGTGGCATAACTCAACTATAAAGTCATATAATCATTGATTTTAGAATGAGATCTCTCACTATAAAAATGTGATTATAGAGATGTCACATAAGAACGTTCATTCTATAGTAGAACATTATGTATGGCTCCTTTGTAGTGTAAAATAGACATATTTAATCAATGGCCACACATGATTACAAATATATAAATCTCATTCGGCATCTTTGCCAGTCATGAATTCAACGGTCAGGGAATTCTACCTGGATCCATTTTTTACGTATCTTGACGACGTTTTCCTTATCATCTAACCATACGGCAGAGGACCCGAATCCATATAAACCTTTGATTTGCGCAAATTATACCGTGGGATCGGCTCACCTTCCGCATGGTGTGCCGATCCCACTTTCAGGAAAGTTACGTTGTTTTCCTTTTCCCACTTCCTTTGTCTCCAACTTTGTTATTTCCTTTTCCTTTGCTTTTTTTTTTCTTTTGTTCAATTCTTTTCTTTTTCCATCAAATTAAAATACTAAAAATTTAATTGCAATTCTACTTTCTTTATCTTCATCTTAAATTACAATTGAATCTATTTTTTATTCTTTATCAATACATAATAATTCATCTAAAAAAAATCTTTATCTTCATGTTCATATTTTTTTTCTATAATATATTTCTTTATCTCTTTATAAAAAAAATATATTTCTTATCTCTTTGATATGTTTTTAGTTTTTTTAAGACATAAAATTTGTTTTTTCGATTTAAATTTCATAAAACATGAATTATATTACGTTTTTCATATGTGTGAGTTATGTTTATAGCCAATTTATGGAATTACATGTGATATTATATGAAGTTACATCTTTTTATAGGCGAATTACATCTTGTTGTCCATGAGTTACATCTTCTTATACACGAGTTACATTTAGACTTGTCTCAACAAGCTATATTTTGCATACACCTAATTTAGATTTTTTAGCATGAGTTACATGTTTTCATAACACGAGTTACATCACGAAATAAATCCATCCATTGAAACCAAAAAATAATTTTTTTTGCAAACAAAAATGATATTTTTTGGAAAAAATGATTTTTCATCAAAAAAAATTAATATTTGTGGCAAAAAATATTATTTTTCTTTGAAACATTTTTATGGCCTTAATACAAAAAACAAAACATACTAACTATTTACGTTAAAAAAAATTAAGCAATTAGACTTCATGTTTTCATTGTTTACATTTGATAGTATATGAAGTTACATCTTCTTATGCGCAGGTTACATATTTTTATGCTTGAGTTACATCTTCCTTTACACGAGTTACATTTGGACTTACCTTAACAAGTTACATTTTACATTGACCTAAGTTAGATTTTTCATCAACGTGAGTTACATTTTCTATAACATAAGTTACATCGCAACATAAAGCTCTACTATTGAAACAAAAAAATCATTTTTTGCCAAACAAGGCAAAAACTGATTTCTTTAGCAAAAAAGTGATTTAAAAAAAAAAATTGGCAGAACATATTCACTATTTAAGTAAACACATGCTATTGAAACAAAAAAATGAGTTTTTTGCAAGCGAAAAAAATGGCGGAAAAATGATTTTTTTGCAAAAGAATGATTTTTTGGCAAAAAAAACTGATTTTAAGGGAAAAAATTATTTATGGTCTTAATATTAAAAACAAAACGTATTCACTATTTACGTAAAGTAATTGAGCAATTAGACTCATTGTTTCAAGGAAATCAATGTTTTATTTCTTATAGTTCGTATTAGACAAGTTACATTTGGACTTGCCTGCAGTTACATTTCTGATCAGCGTGAGTTACATTTCTTTACACGCGAGTTACATTACTCTGCTACTGGACACTGGAAAAACAAAAAATAAGTTATTGTTCACGCGTGAACAGTAACATACGTATTTTTGTCTGTGGGAGCAGCATGCTCACGGTGAGCTGCTCCCACGATATAACAACTGTTTGATTTGATATAACGGTCTCAAACGGCCCACGGTTCATATACAGACTTGACTTGGTGGCCATTTATGATCCAAGTTTGACCAAGACATATTCCAACTATGAGCAATTTCAAATTGTTTGTACCAGACTAGATCAAATTTAAACTTATTTCCATTTTTTTATCTAAGTAAAAACATCACCAACTCATTTTATATTTTATGTCTAGTACATATACAGCCCACTCAAGAACTAATTTTTCTAGTCGGCCAAAAAAATCACATGTCAAATTGTTTTTGTCTATATATAGTCATATTTAAACAAAGAAAGCTATTTTCAAAATTAGTTTCTTAAACAAACAATAATTGATGGTGACTTTTTGTTGTTGTTGTTAAAGCAGTTTGTTTTATGATTTAAATTTGTTTTTAAGAGGATTTAAAATTATTGTATTGTACCGAATTGATTTAAAAATTTCTTATCCTATCAAACAAGACTCTTTTTAGGGGGTATGGATGGATGTAATTTGTATTATCGTATAGCAGTAGTAATAATTGTACAGAAAACTATTAATGTTATTCTAGAGAGAATGGAGAGCTAAATGAGTGCTAAACCTTTCGGCTAGTTGAGGGCCACAACAGAGGGCGGTCGGTAAAAGAAAGTTACTTCCCATTGACTTTGTCCGCAAAAGTGCCCTCAGTTGGCCGATAAGGGTTCAGTTGGGGCTATGACAAGCTATATGTAGGACTGTTGTGAGTATGTAGACCGTGAGTCCAGGCCCATTACCCCCATAATGTAGTATTTATCAAGTTTAACTCGGTACGATTAATTTGAATAATAATAACACTCTGTATGATGAATCTGTTTTTGTTTATGATATTTTAATAGTGTACGAATGCCATGCAGGGTAGTGGACCTCCAAGGAAGGGAGTAGGCAGAGGTGGAAATCCTCAGACAAACGATGCCTCCTCTTAATGACTTTACTAATTAGCCCAATCCCATCTAGGGTTGCATATTACTAGTATATTGCTACTACTTATACTTTAATTTTGCTCAAATGTTGTTATTGCTTGGTTAGTTGTCAGAAGAGATCATCTATTCCAGTTTTTGTGTTTCACCAAATCACCTCGCTTCCGACCATCTTTGATGGCATCATTAATAGACACTAGTTACCCAACCATACGTTGCACGGGACTAAAGCAGTTACATACGAATTTAGATAAATTATGTAAGAAGTAAAAAAAAGTTGATAGTGAAACAATTAATTGATAACATAAGTTAAAATAAGAAGTCGTGTTTAGTCTGAAATTAAAAATCAATGCTCAAAATTAAATATTAATCACGATATCGTAAATTGGTGTGCATGTTTGTCCAGGGAAGTAATTACATAGAAATTTATATGAACTATGTAAGAAGTAAGAAAAAAGTTGATAGTGAATCAATTACTTGGTAACATAAGTTAAAATAAGAAGTCATGTTTAATATGAAATAAACAATAATGCTCAAAGTTAAATATTAATCACAATATGGTATATAGGTTTGCATGCTTGTCAATGGAATTGTCGTATTCTAATTACTTCACTTGTGCGTTGGAAGAAAGTGAAGTACGTACATAAAAGTTTAGATGGATTAAAGTAAAAAAAAAATTGATAGTGAATCAACCAACCAAATAAATCAAATTAAATAAGAAGCCGTATTTCATAGGAATTTAAAAAAAAATGCTTGAAGATGAATGCAAACCATCATATGACAAAATAATTGTGTATGTGTGTCCATGAAACTGTGAAAGAAAACAAAGAGTGAAGCCCAATATGGAACTAAATTCGGAACAAAGAACCTCTAACCTTCTCCACCATACATGTTTATTAAAGTCTCACACCACATATCTTTAAAAGAATTAAACACTATATTAAGATCTGAGTTACTCCTACTATCAGGTTGACCTTTTAGGATAGAACCCCGGATCTTAACATGGTATCAGAGCCAAATTGATCCATGGTGTGGGCCCCTTATGAAAAATGATTGAAACGACTATAAAAAAAATGACAATGACGAATTGACGAAGAAATGAATGACGGCACGATCCAGACAAAGAGTCTGGTCGTTGTGAGGAGGGGCGTTAAATCCCACACCAGAAATGTTTGAGTCAACGAAGTGCTATATTAAGACATGAGCTACTCCTCCTATCTGGTTGACCTTTTAGGATGGAACCCTAGGTCTTAACATGGTATCAGAGCCAAATCAATCCATGGTGTGGGTCCCTTATGAAAAATGATAGCACGATTAAAAAAATGACAATGACGAACCGATGAAAAAATGAATGACGGCACGATCTAGACGAAGTGTCTGGTCGTGAGGAGGGGTATTAAAGTCCCACACCGGATATCTCTGAAAGAATTAAACACTATATTAAAACCCGAGCCACTCCTCATATTAGGTTGACCTTTTAGGATAGAACTCCAGATCTTAACATGGTTCAGAGCCAAATTGATCCATGGTGTGGGCCCCCTTGTTCAAGGCCGTGGGGAACAAGAGCCATTGCCCTTACTGGCTAGCCCTATTAAAAGCTAAAAAAGTCCAATTCTTTGGAGTGTGATATTATAGTAGGGCTTTTTGGCCTTTTAAACTCAATAGTTTTCATTTTGTTAGCTATTTAAATTTGTGGCACAGACCTGGGTAGGCTAAAAAGGGAGAGCATTCCTGATAATTAAGGGCTCGTTTGGTTTTTATGTTTTCGACTTATCAATAACAAAAATAAGTAAGATTTAAGTTATTTTTTGGCTGAATTGACAGAAGTTACTGTGAATGATCATTTTAACTTTTTTCATATTTTTTCTTTATTTTATTAATAAAATATATTTAAGTATTGTTGGGTTAATGGCCCAATGGGGGTTGGCCCATAAACCCTTGAAGGCTCACCCTACGGACGTCCCCAGAAGGCCCAAGGCAACTGGTTAGCCCCATTATCTTGGCGAGGTTCGTCCCCAACAGGGCCAAGCCCAGGGGACGTACGTATTGCACGACTTGGCCCAACAGGAAACAGGAGGCAAGCCCATGGGGACGAACGTCCCCAGAAGGCCCAAAAGCAACGGGATACCCTTCTGATTATCCATAGGACGTACGTAGCCAAAGGTAGGTGCCTTGGCCCAGGAGCAGCACGAGACGTACGTCTCGTAGGGCTTCAGGCCCGGCACGAAAAAGGAGGCAATCCCCAGAAGGCCCAAAGGCAACGGGATACCCTTCCGATTATCCAGAGCACGTACATAGCCAAAGGTAGGTGCCTTGGCCCTGGAGCAGCACGAGACGTACGTCTCGCAGGGCTTCGGGTCCGGCAGGAAAAAGGATGCAAGCCCCATGGGGACGAACGTCCCTAGAAGGCCCAAAGCAGCGGGACACCCTTCCGATTATCCAGAGGACATACGTAGCCAAAGGTAGGTGCATTGGCCCAAGAACAGCATGAGACGCACGTCTCGCAGGACTTCGGGTCTAGCAGGAGACAGGAGACAAGCCCATGGGGACGAACGTGCCAAGATCCTGAACAGGGTAATTGTCGTATCCTCTGTCATGCTTCCAACCTTCAGGGTTTCATCTCTCCATCTTTTCAGAAATTGATTGATGGGTTCCATTGGTCCTTGCTTAACACTGGTCAGGTAACTGAAGTGCCGTTTTGGGGTGGTACTGGATGCAAACTGTGCCAAAAATAAGGACGATAATTCGGAAAAGCTGCCGATCGATCCAGGTTGCAAGGTTCCGAACCACTCCTAGGCGGGTCCCCTGAGCGTGCTGAAGAATAGACGGCAAATGGCTGCCTCTGTTGCTCCCAACAACATGAGCCCTCCTTGGTAACTTCTCAAATGTATGTGGGGATCTCTTGCCCCATCATATATCTAACTGGTTGGTGTTTTGGCATCCCTTTGGATTTTCGCATTCATTATTTCCCTGATGAAGGGGGAAGTGATCCCAATCCGCACCGGGGTAGGTTGTAGGGGTGCCTTGTTCATCTGATCCCTCATCTCATTCATCTGCCTCCTCATTTCGGCCATTTCTTCCTCCTGGGTCGTTAGGGGGTGGTGGTGGAGTTCCCAGATTAACAAACTCTCGAGTTCCTTTCGGTGGGGGTGTTCTCTGATTCCGACGTCCCTGTCTGAATCTGGTGTTATCACGTTCTTCATACTAGAAATGGCGCCCGACTGGCGTAGCTCCTTTGGCTTGGGACCCGGTCGGGGTGCGTGCTGCCTACCCCTAGACGTGTGAGTCCTTCGGTTATCTCCCCGATGGGCTCGTGAATGGGTCGAAGTCGTGGTTGTTTCTGTATCGGTGGTCTCCTCATCGAATGATTGCATCAATCGGAGTGGGGATGGGGTCGTGTACCCGGTTTCCCCTGTGTAGTTGGATCGCCCCCGTCTTGCTCATCTACCATGTGCTGCATGACCTGGGCTAGATCCCGCATGGCGTGGGGGTTGCTTCTTAGTGCTTTGGGGGTGAAGAAGTCCCCATCAAAATGTTGGTATGACCCCCGGCTGGATTACCCGTGGGGGGTCACGTTCCCCGGAGTCCTGCTCCCTCCGCGTCGCTCCGAACTTTAATTGGTATGATGAGAGGTAATTCTAACCATCCTGATGGTAGGTTGGTGTTAGGGTAAAATAGTTGGTTTGAAAACTTTTTGTTCAAGTTTCCCACAGACGGCGCCAATGTTGAGGTTAAGTCCCGCAGATCCGAAAGCCCAACACACGCTTTGGATATTAAGGATATGGAAAATATGTTGAGGGTCTAAGAAAATATAAAAGCTGAATAATAATATGCTCAAAAGCCCACTTGTATTAAGCAATTCACTGATTACACAGGAAACTTCCCGAACAGTACACCGGAATAGTGATAATACAATAACAAGAGTGAGAAAGCTATTCTAGGCTCTGAGTCTCAAAATTCTAACCCTTTACCATGAGATTAGAGCCCCTATTTATACTAATAAAAGGGGATGGGGGTGATGACATGGCTGAATCTGATTTGCTGCCGTTCTCGAGCCACTTAGGTATCCATACTCCCACTTGCTGATGCCATATCCTAACATTAAATGCCTCTGGCCACTTGCAGGCTACCCGTTCGGGCTTCAGAACGAGGCCCATACTGATATGATTATTTATCTAGCCCAAGCTACCTGTATGACCTGATCCCCTTCCGGTATAACTAGTCACTGGGTCTATTATTCTTTGGATCCTTGCTGACTAATGGGCCTGGTATAGTGGGCTTTAGGCCCAATATCCCAACAGGGGTATTAAAAGTGGGAAGGAGGATGAAGGGGATATAAATGGAGGGTGGGTTGACAGAGGGAAAGAAAACGAAATAGAAAAGAAAATTGGAGGGGAAGCGGGCGGTGCATGGTAGTGGGGATGCGTCAACCTTGCATCATGTCTGCGTCATTATTACCATAAGTGTTTCTAAACCTTTATAACTTTTTTATTTGTTATTCAATTTTTTCAAAAAATATATCAAAATTCATGAATTTTTATGATCTTATATGACACCAATATATAATACGTAGTATATAAAATGAAAAAACCCCGAAGTTTTAACTATTGTAGTTTTTTGCGACCGAAAAAACACGAAATACAAATTTTCAATTCATGGAGCATCCACAAATAGTTGGATATTCCATTATCGAATTTTACTTGAGCTAAGTTCATTTTTAATTGTTAACCAAAAAACATTAATAAAATTAATGAAATTTATTTATTTTTACATTAAAATGTGTATTTTTTATTTCATAATTATTCAGGGAAAACATTATGAGGAAAAAATTACTTATAATAATTTAATTAATTTTTTTTACTAAAATGATATATAAATAAATATGCTGAGTGTATTGTATTAACGGTGCTGGAATGCAAGAAAATAAAAGTCTTGTTGGGGAATATTATCCCGCCCCGTTACTGTTCAGAGGCCCAAGGTTTCACCTGTATGGAGCCCAGTTGACGAGGTCCATTTAGGACCCTCGGGCTCATTTAGAGCCATTTAGGCCCACTCGGCCTACTTGGGGTGGTTTCGGCCCATTAAGGCTCATTAGGAAAGAAAGGTTACCCCCCACTCTATAAATAGGAGGCCAAGCTTCCATTGTAAATGAACTGATTTTCTGGCTCTTCTCCCTCGGAGAGCTAGTCTCCTC